TAAATGTCCATCAGCAGATGAATGGATAAATATGTGATGTGTGTGTGTGTGTGTGTGTGTGTGTGTGTGTGTATGTGTACACAGTGGAATACTACTCAGAATAAAAAAAGAGTGAAATAATGCCATTTGCAGCAACATGGGTGGACCTCAAGATTATCAGACAGAAACATATCACCTACATGTGGAATCTAAAATATGGTACAAATGAACTTACGGAACAGAAATAGGAACTTCCCAGATGGTCCAGTGGTTAAGGCTCCATGCTCCCAAAGCAGGCGGCCCAGGGTTTGATCCCTGGTCAAGGAACTAGATTCCACGTGCTGCAGTGCAGCCATAATTTTAACAAGTGCACACGCAGAAACACTGACATATAAAACCTGTGGCTACTGTAGGAGAAGTGGGGAGAGGGGCAGGGGTTTGGGGTTAACATATACACATTACTGTATATAGTACAGGGAACTATATTCAGTACCTTGTGAAAGCCTCTAGTGGAAAAGATGGAAGACTATATATACACAGATCCATGACTGAGTCACTGTGCTGTATACCAGAAAATAACACAACATTGTAAATCAACTGTGTCAAAACAGTTTTTAGAAAAGGAGACTGGTTAGAACAGCCTTCACGAAAGTTATAAAAGGAAGGGCCTTTTCAAAAGCACCCTTTCAACAGGATTGTTTTTGTCCTCAGCAAAATTACAAACAGGAACTCCCAACAGCCAGTTCCTCTTAGCTTCCTCAGATCAGAACCTCCCTGGTCACTGCCTCTAGAACCAAGCAGCCCAGCGGAACCAAGTCACCCACTACAGGCTGGAATGGAAACCCAGGGTGGCATTGAGGAAGGGCAGCAGGAAGTGCCTGGTGACCATGGCCAGGGTCTTAAAACTTCTCACCTTCTCTTTAAAGCAGCAACACTCGGGCTGGCTTAGAGGAGGGAGTCATGCTGACTGCCGCAAATACAACTCATGCCTTATGCCAAAAATAATTCCAGATGAATTGCTCTAAATGTAAAGCAAACCATCAGAGTTCTAGAGTAAGAACAGGTGAGTATTTTTTACATAACCTCAGTATCAGAGCAAAGGCAGGAACCACAGATGGATTTAAACTGTGGGTGTGCAAGGAGACAACCACAGTGCTCTCCTGCACTGAGGACCCAGCATGACAGCCTCTTCGTGGACAAGGATGGGGCCAGTGGTCACCTCCACTGGGGAAGCCAGGACTCATTTCAGAATAAGCAGCAAAATGAAGACAGGTGTACATCATCACATAGGATGTTTTCACTTCTGTAGACCCCTACCTGGGCTGCCCCAGTACCTCAGCAGTAATGAATCCACCTGCAGTGCAGGAGACGTAAGAGCTGGGGCTTCGACCCCTGCGTCAGGAAGCTCCCCTGGAGGAGGGCACGGCAACCCACTCCAGTACTGTCTGGAGAATCCCGTGGACAGAGGAGCCTGGCGGGGTATGGGTCATAGGTCACAGAGAGTCAGACACAACCGAAGCAGCTTAGCACGCAGCCCCCATACCTACCGTCAATGAAACCAAAAGACAACTGACAAATAGGTTTTTTAAAAAACTACAAAATATGACAAGAATATAGTATGTATTAAAAACAGTCACGTGAAAAAGACCAACAGTCGAAGTTCTAAAAGTAGAAGCGTGAATATAGTGTAAAAGCTGTTCAGTTTCAGAGTAATCAGAGGAACAGAAGTGAGACAAGGTGCCATCTCCAGCTCTGATGAGACGGAAAGGCTGGTGCTCCAGGCGGCAGGTTAGCGTTCTGTGAGTACTGTGGTAATATCAAAAGTCCAAAAACTTGAGAACGTCTGTCCTTTAGCTGCACGTTTCTGCTGCCAGGAGTCTGTCCAAGAGGGACCCCAGTCAGCTGTGCCAGGCACAAGGTGCAACGCAAAGAGCAACCAGCCCGCGGGCGGCGCTCCAGCAAGTCACGGCCGCCGGCCACACTTGTGGACGCGGGCGGACACGTGCAGAGCGAGCTACCACTCAGAAAGGTGTGACGCCAGCCCCCTCCCCTCTGCCCGCCGCGTCCACACTGAACACAGAGCTGAGGCGTCCTGCTGTCTCCTGATGGAGGCATGAGGGGCTTTTTCTATGATACTCACTGTGCACACGTGGTCCATTGGTGGAGGGCACAGTGACCTCGGTTCCTGGGACAGGAGGGCAGGGCAGCAGGGCCTCGAGCTCACCTCTTCTCACGAGCACGCCCAGACCACAGCTGCCTGCTGAACCGCCATCGATGAGACCAGAACCAGAAGACACTCCACGGGCACAGACAAAGGAGGAGCCGCAACAAGACGGGGAGGGAGGGACACTGGCAGCACAATTAAATCGCACGTCCCAGGTGGTCAGCCCGCAGCTCACACACTGCAGAGGTTCCCCGTGAGAGTGAGTTCTGAGCCCCAGGTCAGGCTCCCCAGCCTGGGGCTCCAGCTTTGGGGAGAGGAGCCCCCAGAGCATCTGGCTTTGAAAGCCAGCAGGCCTTAATTGCAGGAACTCCACTCATAGGGTGCACACAAAATCTGACATGCAAACAGGGCTACAAACAAGAATCTGTTTGCAGACACCACACACACTGCAGTGCCCGTCAGGGACGGTCCAGCCAGGTGCGGGCCCCAGGACCGTCCTCGGGTAACAATGACTCGGGCCAGGTTTCATGTTGTCAGTTGTTTATTATTTGTCATTCTAAAGACTCGCACAGTTATAGCATACATGGCTTTGAATGAGCTAAGAATATATAAAACAGTAACTATATGTTTATTAATACTGTCCAAAACAAATAAATAAAAGTATCTTAATGCACTAAGCTTGGCAAATACAATTGTGTAGGGACAAAACTATTGTACAATGTTTGTACATGTTTTAAAGGAAACCAAAGGCAGCTGTGCTGCAGACGCTTTGACAGAACCCGAGTTTTCAGTACATCTCAACATTTCTAGGTGGGAGCCTTATAAGGAACACTGGATGGAACCCTTGTTTTACAGAAACCTGGACCACTGCCTGTCTTCTGCAGCGGGAAACCCCAAAGCGCCCATGTGACCTGAGGCGCTGCGGCTGTCGCGGTGGGCAGCGCAGCCCCCTCAGCGAGCGTGCCCAGCGCCGCTGGGAGGCCCACTGTCACGCCGGAGCCAGGGAGCCACGCTCGGGGAATACTGCGACCAGAGTATCTCCTGTGTGATTGGCCAAGGCTTAGACTCTTCTGGTGACCCATAATGTGTAGACAAAATTAGGAGAATGTTCACAAAAAGGTGCCACATGCAAAACTGCAAACAGATGACACAGCATTTGCTGTATTCCCTTTTGATAAATGCAGGTAATGCTCTTCAGACAAAGAAAAATCTGAAAGTTGTATGAATAACATTAAAAATTCAAGGGAATTTTTTAAAAGGTAGTGATGTTAAAGTGAGTACAGATGGAAATGCAGAGATAACTAGACAATGAATGGTGGAGGTGAAAGACTAAATCTGCCATCATGAGGCCATCTTTGGACACAGCGGGAGAAGCTGACACCAGTGGTACAGTGGGCTTGCTGGGCAAGTTTCTCTGCCTCCACACGCCTCACTGATTCGCCCTCCACGCCAGTTCACTCACCAGTGGGCGTCGGGGAACAGCAGGCTGTGTATGTGAACTGGCCTCTGAGGAGGAGGGGGTGTGTGAGGTCATCTGGTCTCACCCGTACCTGATGCCCACCCTCCATCCCTGCACGGGGTGGTCCTGCCTGTGCTCCCCAGGCCCAAGTCTCTTACTTGTTGCCTGGTGGTATTTCTAACGGAGCCCAAAGAATAACATTTAGAATTTCAGACACAGGAACTTCTTAAGGGTTCACAAATCTTTAGGATCAGTATGATGAATATGTGCCATATGTATTTCTTTTACAGCCTTTTAAATAACATGTAAACATAATGATAAAAAACAATTGAGAAAACATATAAACCAAGAAAAAACTCTGCTCTGTGCAGATGACTCATCATCTTAGAATAGATGACCAAACATAATTTTCTATGAAATTCCTAAGTCTTATGGCCCATTAATCCCTTTCAAAATCTCATTTCAGGAGACAGTTCAACTTTCTCAACAGCCATCTTACATAATAGAATTGAGTAGAGGATACTAACAATTATTGCAAACTTAAAGACACTTTCATCAGACATTCAAACATGATTGTATTATCTTCTCGAAGGCCAAAAAAATTTGAGAAACCCACCAGAGACCTACTTGTAAAATATTTAGGTGTCCACTGTCTCTATGCATCAGACATACCACATGAGCGGTCCTGCACCCTGGGGCCAGGGCAAGAGACAGCTGGCCTCCCCACCTCCCCAGACACCTTGTTCCCTAAGGGACAGCGGTGACCCCACCATGGGTGGCTTTGCAGGTGTTGTCTTCTGACAAATCTTACCTCAGGCCGATTTGTCAGCCTTTCCTTCAACTGCTGGTTCCACCTGTGAGGCACTGGCGGGCTGATGCATCAGACGCACTTGCCCTGCCTGCATGAGACAGCAAGCTTCTTTCCCCAAAACTTCCCTTTGACATTTCACATTTAGTGGTCTGCCCAGGATCCAACCATTTAAACTACTGTTTACTATTTTCCATGTGGATTTTTAAAAAGTAGGTTGTAAATCAATGTTCAAGTTTGAGTTTACTCAGTAGAAAAATAAGGTGAGCAGCTGCCTAAATGGGCATTTTTAAAAGTTTCAGCATTTCAGATGCACCTGGCTTGGTTCATACAGGTAACTACTGATATCCGTGTGGTGACGGCTGAAGGCTACTTGAAGGGGCAGTTGTTACTATCCACGGTAGTGAGCCCGACAATACCTGCTATGGATTCCAACGCAAAAAAACACATGCTCCATAGACTCTTTAGTGAAATATTTTAAAAACACAAAAGTAAAAACCAATCCTTCAGGTCTTCTTGAAGAATTCATGTATGACACTAGAGGGTACCCACATTTATTACGTAACAGCTAATTAGAGGAAACCGTGTGTTCATGTTTCAACTTTTCCGTAAGTCCCTTCAGGAGGCCTGTAATGCTTGGGGAAAGCCTTCAGCTGCAGGGAATTAAACGCATATTTGCGACTTCCAACATTCTTCATTGTATTTTCTCTTCGACAACCCTCACTGGGGAAAAAAACAAGCACAAGAAATGACAGCAGGAGAAAAGGAAAAAAGAAAAGACTTAAACTCAGATGAAATGATTATTTTCATAGCATTAAAAAAAAATCTGATTAGTTTAAGTGGGTGCCAGACTCATTTACGACAATACACACAAGATGGCAGGTTTCTGAACAAGGTAGTTAAGAAGCAGAGAGATGGATATGGCCTGTCTGGGACTGCGAGGTTGCCCTTCCGAAAGCAGCATGTATCCAAGTGGAGAATGGCTTTTTTTTTTTTTCTTTTAAGATAATGGTTTCATGTATTTCACATCTGGTTTATCTGAGAAGTCGATCCTAACTAGTGGTTCACAGGGTCTGTCACACAGAAAATTCAGTGGGAACAGTGCTACTGCTGAAAGACTTTATAAAAAGCTGCATTTTTCTCTGTGGGCAAAGGCTGTTAATGGTCTCAAATTCAAAAAGCTCATTTTCCTTCCTTTAACATGTAGTGAAACCATCTGGCTCAGAAGGTGGCTCTCACATGCTGCCGCCACCTAGGAGATGCATCCTGGGCCCACAGCCATGTCATGGGCCTGGGTGGCGGCCGCACAGCTCTTGGTGCTGGGGCGTCCTGAAGAAGTGACTCCACCAAAGTCACCTCTTTGAAGAACTCCACTGAACCAGGGAGAGCCTGCGGGGGCCCTTCCCTGGAGAACCTGCCACCAGCCTCTCCTGCTGCACTGATCACAGGTTGTCATGGCAACCCAGTGGGCAGAGCAGATACTCTGCAGGAGGATGAGCCTCCGACAGGCCTCACGTCCCCAGAGGGACCTCAGGGGAGCTCTCTGGGGGATGTTCTGGTTAACAGATCCAAAGGCAAAAGCGATTGCAAACAGGAATGACTTCCTGTAGCACAGTAGGAGTTGTTGATAGTTTTATATTATCCTGAGACTAACAGTTAAATCAACTAGTTATCAAATTTAGTACAAAATCCCCTTATGAGATGCAAAATTTGCAGTTACCAAGAGACAGTGATTTTTTTAAAAAAAGTATTTCAAGTTGTATGAAGACCATTATGTCATGCATTTTAAAAAAATATCAGTGGCGATTGCTCAAGCCTTTTAAGGTGAAAATGACAATCTCATTATCAAGAACATGTAAAATAATTTTGGTAAGACAGCAATTTTATTCAAAAGATAAATGCAGGTAGTTTAGAAAAATATCCACCTGTTTGTTACGAAGTAATTTAGTAGCTCAGATATGCTTCATCACAAAGCCTCCAAGCCTTCAGCCAGGTGTGTCTCATCTGTGCTGAGTGCCAGGGCCGTATGAGCAGGGAGCCCCCAGTGGAAGTAAAGATTATGTTGGTTTAACATCCAGTAATCTGATAAAAATATTCTATTTGAAGCAGAAGCTATAGAGGTTCTCCTTTAATCTTTGGAAACTTTCATTATCAGACTATTTCAGATATGGCTTCTCCATTTACAAAGAAATATACACACTTTTTGGAAACCACCTATCGCTAATAAATGTCAAACTGCTTTGAGGAACAAAGAATAATTTGTGAACTTCAACATTACCTTTTATTTACATGTTAAAGAGGCTAATTACTGGTTTAGCTGGCTGAATACACTTGAAATTACAGGCAAGGTTACACTTCAATTTGTAAGTCATGTTTACTGTTTGAATTTGGTGTGAATTTACAAAATCTGACTGACGAGGCTGACTGCACACCAGCTCTATCACCCAGTGTTTAGACAAGCTCGGCCAGGTGCCGGGCACTCAGGTGTGGACGGGCGGCTCTGTGCAGTGGTAACTGGCACTTCCGGCCTGCCTCGTCCTCAGCTAGAACCACTTAACCCATCACAATGGCTGCATAATTTTTAGAAATCCATAGTGCACACTGAGAAGGTCTTGGAAAGATTTTTAGAAAGAGGGCTTTAATTATTTCAAAGCTTCATGATTTTTTAAGTATATTGACAAATTATTTCAAGAACATCTACTTTTTTAAATAAAAAATTAGCACTGAAACCTCACATGGCAACTCATTTTAATGATGGCTCTGGTTTTTCTTTTCTGGAGGGGATCTTCCCCTTTAGAATTTAGAACTTATCTGGACACGTGAGTGTCTTGGTGATTCTGAACACCTAGAGTCACCTGTGCTGAAACTGCCTTGGAGCTAGCATTAAGCTTAGAATCAACCTAAAACCATCAACAAGTGTATCAGTGACTCCCCTTTCCTGAACCATCTCCCCATCTTATATGATCTTGCCTGTTTCTCACTAAAGCAGAGAAGATTTCACGTATGTATTTAGCCTGATGTCACAAGGCCTTCATGACATTAAAAAATTCAGCCCCAAGGCACACTGGGCTTCTGTCCTCAGATGTTCTAAACCACCACCACCACCCAGAGCCTCAGCTGATCTTGTGGTTCCTCTCTCCATCCGGCCTCATGACTGCAGTGAGAATGTACTGCCTTCTCACTGGCCCCTGAAGAGAAAGATCACGAATCTTAGCCTCTGGCCTTCCATCTGTTTCTCTTATCTTAGCAGCCAAGCCTCCAGCGGGCAGGAAGGCCTGGCAGGCCACACTGCATCCAGGGGCGGGCCACAGTGTCCGTGAGACTCCCGTGGGGGCCTTGTCTAGGCGCCGGGCTGCAGCCCCCCTTGGCGAGGCGGCGGCCCCGGCTGGGAAGGGGAAGGGCGGCCGTATGGTCAGAAGGGCCTCCCTCATCCACACACGGCCTCTGCTGGCCTGGACTCCAGGGGCCGCGGGAGAGCATCGCCCACCACAGGGCTGGGAGCCCGGCAGGCGACTGTGGGCGCTGCCTGCCCTCTTCAGGAAAGCACAGGGGAACTCAGAGCGCGCCCCTCTGCGTGGAGGGGACAGGCGGAGGACACAGCTCTCCCAGGGTCACAGGCTGGCCATGTTGCTACAGCTCAGCAGAGTGGCTCTGTCCTGAAGGAGGGCGGGAGCTGTGTCACGGGGCCGCTGCCGCCCTCACTCTGGAGAGGCAGGGTGGGGGGGGCCTCCCGCCCCCGTGTGCGACGAGGGCGCCCCGTCACCCTAGAATCTAAAGCCTGTGTCTGCCGTCTGCTGCCCCCTGCCTCTCCGGTCACATCTGCCTCTGCTGTTCCCAGAACCCAGGCTCAGATCTGAGGCCAAACCAGAGAAACCTCAGAGTAACTTCTAGAAGTCTGGGGGAGGCAGTGGAGAGGCCAGATTTTCTGGTGGACGGGCTATGTGCATGCCTACGGAAAGCTTCTGGAAAAGCCAGCTTCTCTGAATTCCCTCGTGTTTCTAGGGTGGTGAAGAGAAACCCACTCCCGCAGAATGCAGTGCAGGGAGAAGCCGGCTGGAGGCCGAAACAGAAGCACAACACGGCTTGAGCTGGGAAGGTGAGAAGCCACGGCCCGTTGCTCACACAGGCTCTGGGGGGCTTCCCTCAGCCCTCTGCTGTCCTCAGAGGCGTCCAGCCAGCTTTCTCCACATGGGGATGTCAAGGCTACAAGTTTCACAGACACCGCCGTGTTAGAGTGTGACGACATCCCAACCAGGCCAGTGCTTAGGACTCAGCACTCTCGCTCATGAGGCCCAGGTCTGATCCCTGCTCAGGGAACTAAGGTTCTGTAAGCCTTGAGGTACACCCCCCATGCAAAATTTAGGAGTAATGAGAACAGAAACCAAAGCAGCCTTCTCTCTCTCGCGCCTCTATCTGGCACAGCTGCCCAAAAGCTAGGTCTCATGCTTTGGTAAAGTTTGATTTTGTTGTTGTTATTAACCACGTTTGATTTAGAAGAGAGAAATGATATCAGGACTTGAAACAAATTAAAAATACTAAAAATGAAGTTTTTTTTAAATGAAAATTGCTACTTTAGGAAATATAAATATATCCAACTTTTAAATGAAAACTGCTACTTCAGGAAAAATAAATATATCTGACTTTAAAAGCCTTTTGTTACTATATGCATTAATTTCCAGAACAGTTCAGTGACCATTAAAGATTTAAAAGAGTAATTCTAAAGCCACGTGCAACATGGTATCTTTATGTGCCTGTATGTGCCTGATTTGATACAATGAGCTACTGTACTCACAGCTTTGGGTCATCCCAACTTGAAAGGAATAACATAAGGGAATGTGATGATTCTGCAAACTGTTTGCTACTGTTATTTTAGGGACTACGCTTTGAAATGAAAGCAGAAAGTACATGTCCTATTGAATAGGTGTATCTAGATGAGCCAGTGAGAAAGCATCTACCCTTTTCATTTCTCTTCAGAAGGAAAGGAAAGGTTAGCAGTACATTTAAAGAATAGTATCAAATATACAAATTCTCTTCTGACAGAATTCCTCTCTAGGAAACAGGGCACACGAAATACACAGGTAATAGAGTTTTACATCAGAAGGTAAGAGGTTTGATACAAGTAATTCCACGCCAGCTAAACAAAGCAGTAACAAGGCTCTGCAGGAACATGTTACAAGCACTGAAAACTCTACAGAACTGAAACGGACACGTCCTCCTGGTGAAATAAATTGGCAGGTATTTACAGTTCATAACAACAAAATGTCAAACTGTAAGGCATGAAATATTTCTTGGCGAACCATGCTCTGACACATTCCTTCTGTCCTGCTAGGTACATGGCGGCGGGACAAGTTCTGGCACTTTTGTTTTTCTTGTGACTTACTAATTTTTCATCAAGACACTCATTTGCAACGCAATTTGGCCACCAGGTACGCTATGCTCAGAAAGAGCCACACAATCAGTAAATTGGGGCTCAGAGCAAGTAAAGGGATGGAACAGAGGAGGCTGGGGTCTAGTCTTAAGTCTCGGACGGGCACCAGGCCGCTCAAGTTCTTCTGCGTGACTACCTCCCGAGTTCCAATGCTGTGAAAAGGAAGAAGGTTGGGAGAAAGGAAAAGAAAAAGGGAAAATAAAGAAAAAAGAGACACATGCAATGGATTTTTTCCAAAAGTATGGGGGAATAAAAAGAGGATAACAGAAAAATAAGATTTAAAAAAAAAAATGGAATGAAGCCACAATAAAAAGAAAAGATGATATGCAGAAACGGGTGTGAGAGGGATACCGAAACAAAACGAGCACAGTTACAAGAAAAAAGAGAGAAAGAGAAGTGAAAATAAGAAAAAAATACCGCAATCTACTGGAAACACACACGTGCAGGCTGACTACATGGCTTTCCATGTTAGCCCCCGGGGCTGCCCAGCACACGCCATGCTGCCCGGCCATGCTCGACATGCGGCTGGACATGGACTCCAGAAAGCAGGCTGAACATGAAGAACCATTGGGGCGTTTGACCTTCTCACAGATGCCCAAGTGGCAGGATGCAACTGATTCCGCCACGGCTGCCTCCTGATGAAGCACCCAGGTGACACCCGCTTCCCTCGAGCTGCCGTGGAGGCGGAGCCCAGAGGGACCCGCCGTGGCTTCCAGGCTGAGCGGCGGCAGCGCGCCTCGTTCTATCAGACGGCATCTACCAAGCACCCAGCTCACGGGAAGCTCGGTGCGTCCCCCTTTGGAGCTACAGAAGCAGTGCTCGGAGGGCAGGTTCCTGGAGGAGCCCGGATGCCACGGGATGGCGGACACTTCTCAGGCTGTGAGCACTGGCGGTCACGTCCCCAGCCCAGCAGTCTCGGGGGTCGCTGGGCTACCTAGAAAGGCCGATCCTGGACTGCAGCCCCTGTGCTGGGGACAGCGGGGCACTGCCGGTGGTGAGCTGGAATTGGCTCCGCTGGCGAGAGCCAGGCAGGCCCATCTCTCCGGGCCCTGGTGTCGCTCGGCAGCCTGAAACAGGCCCCAGTGGCAGTGTTTATGCCGTAGAAGTGGAAAGACCAGACAGGTCACTGGGGGTAGTTGGTTTCGTTTTGGGAGAGAGCTGGTTGTCAAACACTTAGCACAGCGCTGGCCACTGCTCACCCTGGGCCTCCAGGACACAGCCTGGGTGTCCGCCAGCCCAGCTCCATCCACCCCACCCCCACGGCATGCATCGCCACCCCCGCTGCTTGCATCGCGTAAGATGCAAGCGGGAAAGCAAGGGGACCGCTGATGGACATGGACGCAGCTCCTGCCACCTCCTTAGGGTGCTGGGCTGACCCCGGGTCCCAGCCATGCCACAGCCAGAAACGCCGACCATGGGCCCGCCACCGTGTACCTGCAGCCTGTGAACAGACACGTCTCCCGACGCGGGATAACCCAGAAAACGGGAGGCAGGGTCACCGTGACATGGAAACGTGCACGTGCCCAGGGCCCACAGGTCAGGCAAACGGGGGGCGGCGAGCACAGCGCCGGGGGCTGGAGCTGTGAGGGTCCTGGGGGCAGCAGAGGCGGGCTGTCCTCACTAACTTCTTAGACAAGTGTGACGGTAACACGCTCACCATGGAGATTTTATAAAATTCAGAAAAGCACAAATAAGAAACACAGGAGGACATTCATAACTGGAGGCAGGCGGGGCTTCCAAGAAGCAGAGGCAGGCAAGGCAAGGAGGCCTGCCCGCAATAGGAGGCCCCCTCCCCGCAGAGCCTCAGGGTCCCTGCCCGTAACGCAGGGCACCCGGGCGCTCTCACAACAGTGCCACGAGAGACAGCGCAGAGGGCAGGGGGCTGCCTGTCTGGGGGCTCTGTCACTCTGCATGAACAGCCTTACAGAGGTGTGCACTTCCTAACCACGGGACTCAACAGGGCAGACGTGGGCAGGGGAAAACAAGGGTGCTCACTGCACCCCTGTTCCAAGTGCTGACACTGTACCATTATGAACAATTCAACGACAATAAGCTGGATAAATTATAGTGTGCTAAAAACGGTAAGACTTCCACTTAAAGTGAAAGTGACAGTCACTCAGTCGTGTCCAACTCTTTGTCACCCCATGGACTATACAGTTCAAGGAATTCTCCAGGCCAGAATACTGGAGTGGATAGCCCATCCCTTCTCCAGGGGATCTTCCTGACCCAGGAATCAAACCAGGGTCTCCTGCATTGTAGGGAGATTCCTTACAAACTGAGCTATGAGGAAAGGACCTGTGAGACCTCCATTTATTAACCCCCCAAAATGCTCACAAGATAGTCAAGTGAGAAAGGCAGGCTGAGACCAAGGGCAGAATCTCATCTGTAATTGCATGTGTTCCCTGCTACTCAGGGACTAGCTGAGTTAGCCAGTGCTGGACTAACCGTGCTCACAGCCATATGTATGTATGTAACTGGCTCTAAGCTATGTGTCAAGGTGCTATTAGCACTGTTCCTTGCAACAGCAAGAACATGGAGAGTTGTTCAGTGGGGTGTGGGGCGGGTGTGGGAACCACGGGAGCAGGGGCTTATTTGTATTCTCCAGTTTTCCCTCAAGGACTATCACTCACGTGACAGAAGGTGTGAAGTGCTCTGCGTGTCAGAAGCTGTCCCAGGGCACCCGTGCTGGGCAGACAGTGCCCGCACAGCTGCTGGGTGGGCTGCCGCGTGCATACCTAAGGAGCCACGCGCCCGCTGGCCTCCTGAGACCCCTGTGCTCAGATGCTGTCAGGATCAACTACTGTTTCCTCAGACGTGTTCTAGAAACCAGACCGTGTGGAGGCCAGGGCGGCGCGGTATCAACGGAACTCCCGCCTCAGGCCTGGTCTCTCTGATGGAGCAGACGCTCCGACAGGGACAGGGGAGCCCCCCCCGTCTCTCTCGCTTCCTGGCTGCCGGGGCCTACGTCTCCCCAGAGGAGTCCTTCCCACCACCTCACAGCTGGCGGCGCCGGGGGTGCCGAGGCAGGGACAGTGTGAACTTTCTAGAAGTGCGTCGGTAAGCGGCCCTGAGGTCACGAGGTTTGGGGGAACGTGGAAAGACGAAACAGGACAAAACGGCTGCCTTTTTACTAAACGCTCCTGTCAGGAGGCAGGCGCTCAGGCCTCGCTCTGGCGCACGGCTGTGAGAAGGTCAAACGGCAGAGACATACAGAAAGGATAAGAGAATCACGCTCTGAAGAGTCTGGTGAGAGGACAAATGGTAGAGAACACTCAGTAGAGGTGACGGAAAAACGAGACTGAACAGCATTGGGGGCCACACGGAAGAAGACGGGAAAGCAGGTTTCTTATCCTTTCTTTAGGTATGTGAGGCGAGGGGCTCCCCGCAGGGCTGGAAACAAGGCATCGCTGACAGCGGGCAGTTTTAGTCCCTGGGGCTCCCTCTGCAAACGCGCCTGCGGCCTCGGAATCAGAACACGATTAAGGCCGGGGACGGCGGGGACGGCGGGCAGCCGCCAGGAGAGGCTCACTGGACACTGGCTCAGGAAAGCAAACCCAGCCCGCGGCCGGGAGAAGCAGGGCCCTGCAGCCTGCGGACACCGCCTCCCGCGACGCGGACGCTCAGGACAGGGGTAGCTGGGGCCGCGGCACGCGGCCGCCTCGGAGCATCCGCTTCCCTCCCGCAGCCCCGCCCCCTGACTGGAAGAACACCGGCGGACCGCCCAGGGGCGTGGCCTTGCAGACCGCGGCGGCGGCGGCGGCGGCCGGGACCCACCTGCGCATGCACTCCAGAGCCTGCGTGAACACCTGCGGGGCCATGCCGTGCTCGTGCTGCAGGATCAGGCACTGCTCCAGCGTCACCGACATCGCCGTGCGGTCCTTGGCGCTCTTGCAGCTGGTGAACCGGACCCCGTTGAGGCGGCGGCAGACCTGCCGACGGGAAAGCAGGGGCAGCTTGGAGTGAAACGGAAGGGCCTGACCCAGGGACAGGGCGTGGCGACCTCTCCGCACCAGGCCCAGCCTTGGCTACAAGGAGCTGGTTGCAAGACAGGCCACGGCCGGGGTGGCCCTGGGCGGGGGGGGAGGGGGGGTGGTCTCCCCACAAAAGGCGGCTTCCTCCCGGAGGCCCCGCCGTCCATGCACCCAGCTGACCAGCTGCCCCCTTCCCAACTCCGCCAGGACGGGCCTTTTGCTGCTGATCCCAACCCTCAGCGGAGGTCAGCGCAGCTCCCAGGATACCCGGCCCCACCGGGTTTCCAGGCCTTTCTGGAAGTCAAAGCACAGACCGCTAGTCTCGACGCACCTCCTCATCCACACAGGTGGGGCCGGCACAGCAGACCCACTTCCCTGCGGCCACCTCCTACGCACAGGCTCTCCCAGCCAGAGGCCCCGTGCAGGGTGAGGCGCCAGCCCCTCCCAAGCAGGGGGCACACACGGCGGGCAGCCCCTCACCCTGGGGCACCTCCGCTCCCCGTGGGAAGAGCGCCTAGCAGCATGAGCTCTGCACCGCTGGGCACAACCCCAGATACACACTTCCAGGTCCAGAAAGCCCTAGAACAAAAGACTTTCTGGGGTAAGTTTGTGGCGGCCATACTTGGCAATATGACCAGATCGGAGGGAATGTCAAATTACTTATAATTTTTATTTATCCCACTTTGTATAAATATTCATAGTTTGCTAAGTCACTTCAGTCTTGTCCAACTCTTTTCAACCCCATGGACTGCAGGCCACCAGGCTCCTCTGTCCAAGGGATTCTCCAGGCAAGAATACTGGAGTGGGTTGCCATGGCCTCCTCCAGGGGATCTTCCTGACCCAGGGATCAAACCCACGTCTCTTACATCTCCTGCACTGGCAGGCAGGTTCTTTTCCACTAGTGCCAGCTGGGAAACTCCCTAATTCATACTTTGCAATAAGGCAATGCTCAGTGGGTTGATTCCAGACCCCAGACTCCTCAGGACTGTGAAACCATCCACATGTACCACGTTCCACACAGATGACTCTGTCACATACCTGTGCACACACTGTACCACCTTTCTGAAGCATGGAGCCCTATGAATTCTAAAATACCTGGCCACGGGAGCCTCAGATAAACACCTCCAGGCCTGTACAAGAGGCTGCACTGTGAGAACAAGATGAGCGTCTCATGAGAGGCCGCTCCTCTACCAGAAGCCATGTGCCAGTGGGCTCCAGGACGTGCTGCTCTCAGAGAAACACCAGAGGCGCTGCGGGTAGATGGCACCACGCCCACTTCTCAGGTGAGACCAGGCAGCTACTAGCAGAGGTGCCATCGGCAGAGGGCAGAGTGCAGGCCAACACACGTCTCAGTTCAGCTCAGTTCAGTCGCTCAGTCGTGTCCAACTCTTTGCGACCCCATGAATCGCAGCACGCCAGGCCTCCCTGTCCATCACAAACTCCCGGAGTCTACCCAAACTCATGTCCATTGAGTCGGTGATGCCATCCAACCATCTCATCCTCTGTCGTCCCCTTCTCCTCCTGCCCCCAATCCCTCCCAGCATCAGGGTCTTTTTCAAATGAGTCAGCTCTTTGCATCAGGTGGCCAAAGTACTGGAGTTTCAGCTTCAGCATCAGTCCTTCCAATGAACACCCAGGAATGATCTCCTTTAGGATGGACTGGTTGGATCTCCTTGCAGTCCAAGGGACTCTCAAGAGTCTTCTCCAACACCACACTTCAAAAGCATCAATTCTTCGATGCTCAGCTTTCTTTATAGTCCAACTTTCACATCCATACATGACCACTGGAAAAACCATAGCCTTGACTAGACGGAGCTTTGTTGGCAAAGTAATATCTCTGCTTTTTAATATGCTGTCTAGGTTGGTCATAGCTTTTCTTCCAAGGAGCAAGCATCTTTTAATTTCATGGCTGCAGTCACCATCTGCAGCCCCCAAAATAAAGTCTCTCACTGTTTCCATTGTTTCCCCATCTATCTGCCATGAAGTGATGGGACCAGATGCCATGATCTTAGTTTTCTGACCGTTGAGTTTTAAGCCACTTTCATCAAGAGGCTCTTTAGTTCTTCTTCACTTTCTGCCATTAGAATGGTGTCATCTGCATATCAGAGGTTACTGCTATTTCTCCCAGTATCTTGATTCCAGCTTGTGCTTCATCCAGCCCAGTATTTCACATGATGTCCTCTGCATATAAGTTAAATAAGCAGGGTGACAATATACAGCCTTGATGTATTTCTTTCCTGATTTAGAAACAGCCATGTCCAGTTCTAACTGTTGCTTCTTGACCTGCATACAGATTTCTCATGAGGGGTTAGGCCTAATATTTCAGCTCTGCATGTGAGAACCAGTGTGGACATGTCCCCTTGTCAGGGGTGAGTGAATGACGAGCTCTGAAATGGCCCTGGTACCCAGGGCTCAGACAGGGACTTGGAGCTCCACAAACAAATTCCTGAGAAAACATCTGACATATAAGGACTTCCCTTCAAGAGAAATGAGGAGATTGGAACAGCAATGTACCGGAAACACTGTTGAAAGAGACGACACAGGTCCTGGCGGTCTCCCTTTGAACCTATTTAAAGGCGCAGTGAGCCGTGAGTTTTAGCACGTATGGACTGTGCAGGCTGCAGACGGGGACAACATGCTCATAAGCCTGGTCACCACATGCCCGGGGGAAGACTCTGAGTCACGCTCATCAGCCCTCAGGCAGTCCCACCGCAAGCAGTTCACGGGCAACTCTCAGTGTCTCGCATCCAGGGATTCTCCTGTGTTCTTGTGGAGAAATCTGTCCCCACTCCTGATTGAGACTTTAATTTGTTGCTGCTGTTTTAGCATTATTATTATTATTGTGAACATCCCCCCCCGACCATGGCATGTACCTCGGCGGCTTGCCACAGGATGTCAACGTTCTTGTTCTTCCTGGCGTGCACGTTCTGACCCAGGAACCGCAGAAGCTCCGGCAGGCATGTCTGGCTCCGGGATCGAGGTAGACCTGGAACAGGGAAGGGGTCGTGGAGCTGGGCTGCCCCAGGGGACAAAAGACAGCGGGTGAAACCTGCTGTGGGTGAAAAGAAAAAAAAAAAACTTACAGTCCTCAGGCAGAACTTCCTTAAACTGCTCGAAGTAGGAATTTAACCGCACCAAGCTCTCCACGTTGATAACTTCTTGTAAAGACGTGTCGCCGAACCTTTGGAGTCACAAGGGGACACCATCAGTTTGCTAACATGACTTGCTTCTAGCACCAAGTGACTGCATTACAGGCAACAGCGCTGATTCTCTCAATCCTTATGTGTAAATTTGAAGCCATATTCCTCCCCCTAAGCTTACAGTCATCTGTCCATGTTGGTGACAAGTCTGAACATGTTTTATCAGCAGGAGGCATAACCTGGGACAGACATGCCTCAGAGGCAGCCAGGCCCCCGGGCAGCCCTGCCCCGCCCCCTGCTCTGCTGACGTGTTCCCATCCCCGAGGTGCTCCCATCCCCGAGGTGCCCGGAGCAGGACAGCAGCGGGGCTGTGGCTGGGGAGTCACGACAGTCCTATCCTCGAATCTGCCACTGCGGGACCAGACCCAACCGGCTGTATCTGCTGGACAGAGTCCACCTCTCTCCACGCAGGCACCAGGCCTGCAGGGAGTGGGAGGAAGCCACCCACAAGGGAGCCGCGGGTGCTATCGGATACACCGCTCTGGAGACCCAGGCCTGGACGCCCATTCCCCCCTCCCCCCCAGCCCCCAGTACTTCCTGCCCAGGGCCCTCCGTGCACATCAGCCTTGTCCCGGTCCCGGGTCATCCTCATGAACCTGGGACAGGACGCCCTCCCGTGGGTCCACCACGACCCGCCCACCCAGATGCCCATGATGCCCTTCCTCCAGTCCCTGGCTCCCTTGGGGTCACCCTGGGACACGGGGGGGCTGTGCTGGTTTAGACCCTGCTCCCACCTCCCTCTGTGCATGCCACGTCGTCCCATCTGGCCTGGCCTCAACCCTTTGCAGAAACCTTTCCAGACACACCTCTTCTAGAAACTACTATCGCTTCAGGAACAGTAGTTGCAGATGCCAGCATGCTGTCTCCTCCCTGCCAGGGGCCCTGAGGCTGCCCACACTCCCTGAGGTGGACACTGCCACCCACAGGGAGGCCTGGCTCTCACACCCACCCTGCTGGGGACCACGGCTCAGCTCCATCGGGTCCTCCCGTCTACACTCCTGGCCTGACCCAGCCTCTGGCCCGGACTCTTCTAAACAACCTCGTCACATCAGACCTCATGTCTTTCCATCACGTGGCCAGCAGGTAATCGCCTTCAAATGTGAACTGGCTCCTGTCCTGTCCCACTAAAAGATCTCTGACCATGGGGGGAGGACCCTTTACCTGGGGGTCAGTGGACACTGACCACTGGGCTCACGAGGCCTGAGAGGAATTATCATCCTGGAGACCAGATGTCCTTATCAGTAGGTGCTTTATGATAGCTCTTAATTCTAAACCACACGTATCACATGCATGTAATGATGGAACAGGAAAGGTGTTCATGTACCAGTAGAAGGTCATCAGCAGCTACACACACCCAACCCCCTCCTCTCCAACACAGATGCACACATGCGTGCATGCATGGGCATGTGCATGTCCTCCCTGCCAGGTGACCCTGAAGGAATTTACAAGGCACAGGATTTAGGATCAAGGCATGGCTCTCCACCTGGCATACAGGCCTCATGTGGCGTCTCCCCACCTGCCTCTGCTAAGGCTTCCCAGCCTGAGACCCTAGGTCTCTCCTCCACCTCCTCATATGAACAACTCCTACTTACTCTTCAAAACCCACTTCCAGGAAGCGCCCTCAGACACTCTCAGACCTCATGAGCGCACTACTCCCTGTTGCCAGCCCACCTCTAGGGTCATGGACCACGTGTGGTTCATCTCTGTGTCCCGGCACCACCAGACGGGCCTGGTGTGAACCTGAAGGCAGGTGACAGGTCCACAGGGCCCTGAAGAGGACTGAGAACATGCTCTGTGCCAGCGCCAGTGCCCGCACCCTGGCCCGCACCTCTCGGCCAGCGTCTGCTGCTCGTTGATGCCTACGTTGAAGAGCACGGGCTGCACCCGCAGCAGCATCCCGCTCTGGATCTCCCGGGGCAGCGCATCGAACAGGGGGCCCGGCAGCGGGATCCTCACGTTAAAGCCGTCCCTGCAACAGAGAGGAAGAGGGGCCTGTGACCAGGAGATGGGTGAGCAAGGAGAGGAAGGGCAGGCCAGGCTCGGGGACCTCCAAGCGGCTGGGCACCGACCGGCCCGGGGCTGTGAAACGAGTGTCGCGGGCTGTGAGCAGCTGAATGATACAGAAGAAAGCAAAAATGAAGAGCGTGTCACGTGTGATGAACACAAATGAAAACACTGTGCTGGTTCTGAGAATCCGAAAACTCGGCCTACCGATTTCCTGTGATGACGGGCAGCATGTCAGTGGATGCGTTAGAAGTGGCCTGAGTGACTTTGAAGGTCACGTTCCTCAAGTCCATGATCCCAAGGCTCATGTCCTCCAGCATGGCCAGCTCCTCCCCTGGAGGCCAGAAAGGGAGGGGGCTGTCAAGCAGAGGGGCCCTGCGCTCAGATCAGCCACGGAAGGCAGGTGCTGGGCTTAGGACGCTGAGACGCGGGCTGAGGCTAGGTGAGCCGGACGAGGTTTCCCAAGTGCCTGCCAGCTTCTCCGCGAGCAAACCCCACTATGAGAGTCCCATGGCCACGTTACGAAGGGCAGCTGGCACAACTCCGTATTCCTGGCCCTCTCCTGGTGAAGGAAGCAGGGACATGGACGCATATGTGGGGAACTTCAAGAACAAGTTCATCTCTTTGGATGTTTTAATCTTTCCACATTCTTTAGATTTTCTATCTAAAGGATTTCTTTAGGTATTTCTTCAATGGCTTATAACTCCAAAGATAAACAGATACATTAATAAAAAAAATTTGCCTACTTTTACCATCTAAGAAGAAATAAACAGAAAATGAAGGTAAGGGGAAGAAAGCCTTTTTAAGACAATTTGGAAATACCAGATTTTTAAAGTACTCCTATCTGTTGACCCACCAACTTTCCTTCCAAAGGATTTAGTGGGTGTGAAAATGGGCCAAAACTGCACAAAAATATGCAAAGATGTTTTAATAGGAACAATTCTGAAACGGCCCAAATGTTCCACAGGAAGTTATTGCTTTAAAAATTGCCATCTATCCTCAAGTAGAAAAACCTTCAAGATGCATAACAGAGGCAACACAGGGGTGTGTGTGTTCGGGGGAGTGTGTGTGTGTGTACAACTATATAGGGCTGATGTCAGTCCTCTGTTATACATTTTGGAGCTTTCTGGATACATTTTACTCAGCATGCATTACCCGTGCTTCAGAAAGCCACTGAGGGGGCCAGGAGGGGTCCCACAGGAGGGCCCCCACCCCCGGCTCACCATAGGTGCTTAGCAGGCTCTCAAACTGTGCCAGCAGCCCAATGGTGTAGAGCTGCCGCAGGAAGCCGTCGTCGTGAAGGCAGTTCCTCAGCTTGATGATGAAGCCGCAGATGAGTGCCGTCAGCTGCAGGGACAGACACCGCCTCGCCTCGCTCCTGGCCCGGCCGCATCCTGCACCCGCACCACTCTGCCCGCAGCAGCCCCGCGCCCTCGGGGCCCGGAGCCAGGATCGCAGAGCCCATGGGGGATGGAGGCTGCAGGGAAGGCGCTCCAGGCCTGCTTCTTCTAGAGGTTAGTCTAGTTTTGATTCAGCTCCTGACCCAACCTTGGGGTTACTCCTGGGTCAGAACCTTCTGGAACCCCGAACAATTTCCCCACGGTGCGGGAAAGGCCCTCTATGCCCACAGATCCAGTCCGGTGCTGAATGGAAACTGGGGTGCTCATGACAAGGAGCACAAGCAGAGAACTGGGCCCTCGAGAGTTTCCTGGGCAGGGGCTCCCATCACACACCCCACCCTCGCAGGCAACCCAGGCCCTGAGGGGATAGGAACCACACAAACCCGCCCAGCTTCTGCCACCGTCCCCGCTGCTGACTACATCACTGGCATCTGTAAACTGGGGGTGCTCACTGAAGCTCGGCCTCCTCTGCAGGGAAATCACCAGGACAGAACAGAGCGGTGCCTGGGCAGGTGTAACGCCTGCTGTTTTACAGACAGACTGTGCGCCTTCTTCACAGGGAGAAACAAGCTGACCCCATGCCTGTGTGACCCCAGGCCCCTGGGGGCAGGTTCGGGGGAGCAGGGGTGGCGTCTTCTGAACACCCATGAGCCTCCAACTCCCCTCCCCTGCCCTCCACGCCCACATCCAGGCCGCGGGCCGCACGGGCAAAGCCACACGCAGGAGGGCACGGCCCTGCTGGCTTCCTCCAGGGTGCAGGAGGGCCAGGCCGGGGGGCCAGGCTCACTGCGGCACATACCGTCTGGCAGAAGACCACGTCGCGGCGGTACTGCAGGCTCAGGAAGCTGGCGATGGTGGGCGCACTGTCCTGCATGAGCAGGAAGACCATTGCCTTCTTGGCCTTGTCGCTCATCATGGCCACGCAGTCGGTGAGGGTCGTCAGCAGTGGGTACAGGGCCTCACTCCACTCACCTGGCACAAGGGAGGGGCGGCTGAGAAGGCGGCGCTCAGGAGGCCCCAGCCCAGCCCCGCCACCCTGTCCACACCTCCCCACTCCAGGAGGCCCACAGCTGGCACCCTGTGCAGCCCGTCTCCGCCATTCTAGCCTGAGGCGTCTCCGGGGGCGGGGAGTGCCCACCCACTCTTGAACCGCTGGGGACTCTGCAGGCAAACACTCCAGACTGTTCCCTCCCAGGAGGATGACAGAAAGGCTCCAAGAACACGTGGTGTCTGCTGAGGCCAGTCCCTCCCAGGGTGCCACCGGCCCTCCCCCGGGAGACCTGTTACCTGGTTCTCTCGATCTAGGCAGCAGGGCGGGGAGCCCCGTGCTTCTGGAGCAAGGTCAACCCACCCGCGCTGAGCCTTTGCTCAGCGGGCTCAGGCCCTTGGCCCATGTCTTGGGACAGACCCTTCCCAAGGCATCCCACGTTTTCAGCCCTCAGTGTCCCTGCTCCCCCATCCTCATCTTCCTGTCATCTATTCCTAGTGTACTGTTTTTTTTCTTTTTTTGGAATATAAGGAAACTTTGACCCTGTACCAAAACAATTTTTTATAAATAGATGCTCAGGGGAAAAAAAACAGAGTGAAAGGTATTTTGGCCTTGGCTCTTTTTGTCTTTTCTATTTAGAAGACATTTGGCAGACAGAAGCCATGCCCCCATCAGTTATTCTTTTAACAGGCCACCAAGCCCAGAAACAGGTGCTGGCTCATTACCACTGGGTAAGCCCCCCAGAATCCAGCGTGTGGCCCAGGCAGGGTGCCCTCCTGGGAAGGGGTGTGGGTCACTGGGTGCCCATGGCCATCATCCTGCTCAGGACAGGCCCCAGGCCTCATGAGCAGGGCAGCTACCAGGATGGTCAACTCTGTCTCAGATAAACAGAATCTAAAAAAGAGAAAAGGGGGCCACAGCTCTGCCCTGTGTGTGCATCACACTGTGTTGAGAAACAAATTTAGAGAAACAGCTAAAACCTACAAAAGGACTCCCCTGTATGGTCAACACAGATTTTCAAGTCTACACAGCAATTGAGAATTTGGAAATGATCTAGGTGTGCATGCAAGGCGCACTGTACATGCATGAGGATTTGTGTCTGTCATGGAAAACACGCAGGTTTAAATTTCGGACAGGTCTTAGTAAGCAGCGCGCGGTGACGGGGAGCCCGGGGGGAGCCCTGGAAGGAGTGGATGGGGGGGAGTGGAGAGCCTGCGCCCCGGGCCCGGCTGCTGTTGAGCGGCAGTGTGAACGCCGGGCGCAGGCCCCACCGCTCAGCCACAGGGCCTTTGCAGCAACATGGGACAGCTGCAGTAAAAGGACACCCACGTCTCTTCCTTCCTCTAAAATTCTCCAAGGCCGTGCTTTGTTTCTTTGAAAAACTCTGTTGAATCCATGTCAATTATATTCAACAACTATCAAAAAAGACCAACAGTCATTAAGTTTTAACAGTCAAGTCCTGTGGGGAGAGGCAGGCAGGCATTCAGACCATCTTTCACCTAAGAAGTAAATGCTCTGAGAGCAAATGCTGCCAACTTTGCTTGACTTTTCCACTTAATGCAAATATATATGTGTAATATGCAAATTTATGATCGTTTTAACCTGAAAATGAGCAGAATATACAAGTGGTCTTATTTGACTGAACAAGCTGTCTGCATACAATTTTTTGACTTTGCCTTACTTCTGTTTAAACAAAATTCACATAAGAATGGCTCAGTTTTGCTACATTAGAGGGGAAAAAAATCACTGGAAAAAACTGTAGTATTGGACGAATGGTTTAAAAAAATAGAAAGCACCCAGAATTTGTCAGAGAAGAGGCAGAGCCCAGAACGGGAGATAAGCCTGACGTCGCCCAGAGAAGGCTCGGCGTGTCTGGGTGGCTCCAGGGTTCATGGAGAGTGTCGACCAACCCTTAGTGAAGACCTGTGAGCCCTCACTTTTTAACTGTTTTCTCATCTACTCCACAGAGGGGCTGACTACAGGTCCTACGGGTAAGGAAACAGCGGCTAAGTCTTTTCCCAGACACACAAAAAGAACTGCCATTTGTATACACATCTGACTACCTAAGTGAGCAGAGGCTACTTGGCCTCCTTCATCAAGAAAGTCTGGCCATGAAAAAAACACCAGTGACAAAGGAGCATCCTTTGTGGGAAAAGCCCCTGTCTCCCTGCTCACCCAAGACACCCACTGAGGGGCCCAGCCCGGGGCCACGCGGCTTCAGACAGCTGAGCTTTTGTGTGTTCTCACTGACAGGGGCGGGAAGGGAGGAAGTAGGGAGATAAAAGAATGTGCGTGTTCTAACTCAGACTCAACACAGCTCTGTGAGCAAGGCTGAGGAGCTCTTGGCAGGGGACTGTCTGCGTTCGTCTGACGTCAACTGTGGACGGGCCACCTGCGTGTCAGGGCAGTGGTGGAGGTGACAGGAGACGAGGAGCGCGGATGAGCCCGGCGGTTTGCTGCCAGGGGCGCACAGGGCTGCCCGTCAGCTCCGCAAACTGCAGGGCCCGCGGAGCGGAGGCGAGCCCGAGCTGCTCCAGGACCACCGCCACCTCCCCTGGCCTTGATCTCCAGGGCCATCACTGCCACAGAGCCTGGGGAGATAGCGCCGCGTGACGGCACCGACCTGCCGTGCAGGTGAGCCCGGCGGGGCTGGGAGTCTGGGGCCAGGCTGGGGAGGGGGCGCCGAGGTAACTGCCCAAGCAGCTGCCAGGCCGCCGAGAGCCCAGGGGACTGGTGCTCGAGACCTGCCCGCGGCCAGACCAAACTTGGGCAGGACGGGCGGAGAGAGACTGAGGGGCTGAGGGCAGACTGGTGGGTTAGTTACCAGGCGCCCCGTCAGAGCACCCACTGCAGAGCCAACAGCGCACGGGGCGCTGGGGGAGCCGCCGTGAGCAGAGCCGCGTGCCTGGTGCCCATAGGAACAGGGTGGTAAGCCCCCCTGGTCCTGGCTGGCTGCACTCGAGGTAAGAAGCGCGTGTCTTGCCATGTTTACATGTGCAGTCAGAGGTATGTAATCCTCAGACTGACCAGGTGGCTGTCTTTTGTAAGGGAAACAAAACAAAACAAACATCGTATCTGGGGGTCTCATGCTCCCTCTGGGAAAACCACAAGCCACATTCAGGAAACTCAGCATGAACTAGAGCAGGGGTCGGCACATTTTCCCCGTAAGGCACTGGGCAGTCCGTATTGCAGGCTCTGAAGGCCCAGGGTCTCTGTTGCCACCGCTGGACTCTGGAGCTGCCCCAGGGCTGCCGTGGACACTGAACCAACGGGTGTGACTCGTTTCAGGAAAATGGTATCTAGCTGAGCAGGGTTCCCTCAGAGCTGTGGCTGGCCGACCCCTGAACTAGAGTCATAAGCACTGATTCCTCCATGCAGAGGAAGCAGAAAGGACCCCATCTCTAGCACTAGCTCCACCTGGGACCCCAGCAGTGTCTGGCGGGACGCCTGAGGCTGCAGCCAGACTCGAGAGGGTGCAGCGAGGAGACCACGGCGCCTGGGCAGCTGTGCCGCACCTGCCTCCCTGTCTCCACGGGGCGCTCGCAGGGTCAGGTGGAACGAGGAAACATCATTCATAAACATGAACTTGTCCTAACCAGGCCCCCGACTTCAGGACTCCCAGAGCACTCAGACACGGACTTTCTGAAAGGGCGCAGGATGCCACAGGGCCCAGCCCGCCTGGCCCCTCCCCACACCTAAGAACGGCTGCTACATCCTCACAAGGAAGAAACCCCTAGAGTATTTTCCCAACTCTGAGAGCACACGTAATCTGACAGTGAAGCTACACACATGACCTGGATATTAAGAAGAGATCTGCAGAGCCTTGAACGGAAACCACGTACCTGGGCTGGACTCTTCAGGAGGGGGGCTGCAATCTGCACAGAAATGGAGGTGACATGGATGATTAAGGCACGCACACAGTTCAAACACCAACAACTCAACGCTTAGAGCAACTGCAACAGCAGCTGCCAGTAAGCTGGCTAAACTGGGCGGAGAAGAGGCAGGGGGCCTGCCCGCCTCTTCCTGAGGGGTCCTGCGGAAGTGGTGGGGCCGCTGGGAGCACAGCGCCCAACACACCGGCGTCAGCACTCATGTTGCTGATACTTCAACATGACACGCTCTTCAGGAAGAGCAGCTTAACGTGTCACAATGCGATAACGCCCCCACGTCCATCGCATGGCATGTGCCGTAGCCCATGCTGACTCACAACATCTGGAAGCAGACGTGTAGAGAGACTGACCAGTAAATAAGCGTCCAGTTCAGAGCCCACTGCCCTCACGGGTCAACTGCTGAGGTCCAAAAGGTTGGGGTCCGGTCAGGAAACCCATACACCAAACACGTCCGTGCCAATCTTTACCATGTAAGCCGAATACAAAACCTTTATGATTGAGGGAGGACTACAATTGGAATGCCCCCTTGGGTCCCTTAAAGATACCAAGTTGAACCTGATTTCACCCTCAGTGAGTAGCATCGGGAAGTACTCACTTCAATTTCACTTTTCCCTTAAAAACTCTAAAATTTTCCTGGTTAACTGTGTGTGCCACTTATTAAGAAACAAGTTTGAAAAGGGATTATTTGGGGGTAAAAGCTTATTTTCTGTCTGAACTTTTGGTTTCCAAGGATGTTTTCAGATCCTGAAATAGGCAGCTTCAGATCCCCAAGAACAGGCAGGACCAGCTGGATGGGGATGGACACCCTGGACTTCCAGGAGGGCGGCGGCCAGGATCTTTGTCCATGACTGTCTCTGGCAGTGACTTCTTAAACTGGCCAGCGGGACAGAAAGCAGAGCAACATTAAAGAGCTGTGTGTGGGGAAGCTTTCAGTGTCCTCACCAGAGCTCAGACCTCCCGAGACCATCTGCTTCCTAAGGAGGGGAACCGCCACGGGGTGTGTGACACAGAACGTCTGTCTGGTTAAAACCTTCCTCAGACCCGGGAAGAATGCCGACTCCTGCCTCCCCACAACCTCTGAGATCCCGGATCTCCGTGAGGAGAAGGTTCTAGGAGCCTGCTTTCAGGATCCGCACTGATCCCAAGCAGCTGGGCTGGGACTACACCTGAGAAGAGGTCAGGGGTTAAACCTGCTGGGAAAATTCACCTTCAGTAACAGGGAGAGGGAGGGACTTCCTCTGGTGGCCTTAAGGCTCCGAGTCCCCTGAGATCTGCTGACCACAGTGGACTGCTCCACACACGTGCAGCACATAGTCTCAAGGGCACACGGCCTGGGGTGTGACCCGTGGACCTCAGATTAACAGAAAGCAGGCCCGAGGTTGAAGAACCCTTTGGGGACGAGGAGAGCAGCAGTGTGTGTGCACGGAATGTGGTGGAAGTCAGCAGATCCTGGCGCCCTGGTGGGGAGGGGTGAAGACGGGCCGCTTGGGGAGACCGCCAGGAGGAGGAGGAGGAGGCCCGCGGAGCCTCTGTGGCTCCTGCCGGTGGGGACTGGCCAGTGGGTCCCGCTGAGCCCCAGCCCCAGGTGAGCCCCGCCCACCAGGCAAGGCTGAGGCAGGGCAACTTCCTGATCAAAGATGAAAACCGAGGACCCAGCAGTTCTCCAGTGGAGAACTGGAGAACTGGAATGAAAAGGGATAATAGTCTTTCCAAGAAGCAGGAGTTGTCGTTCACAGGTAATAAATACACTGGTGTGAACCCAACCTGCTCATTAGGCCGTAACGACTGCCCTGGGAACTTGGAGGGGCATCAGGACGCATGACAGAGCCCGGCTCTGGCCCCGGAGGATGAGAGACAGAGCAGGACAAACGCCTCAGTCTGGTTCTCCCTGACCCTCATCACGCTGGGGTCTGATGGCTTCCCGGCTATGCTTAGGGTCATGGGCAGGCACTCTGGAGGCACGTGGTTTCATATGTTTCTCTGAACACTTTCTATTCCTGGGAGCACAACAGAGCTGATCTGTCAGGCACACACAGGTACCATCAAGCCCTAGATATCACAAATCAATGCTCATTTAAATCACTTCAAAACTGAACTTAAATTTGTCTGTATGTTTGAACATTATGAGATGTTCCTAGAAAAAGAGGACATTTAATAAGTTTTGAATATAACAGTATACCTGATCAAACAAACTACCTCCTGCATTTTTTAAAACTCCAATCAGTAACTTTTTTTTATATCCAGAAAAATGTTTAAATTGCAAGCAAGACAATATTAAAGAGACACGAGCAATGAACTTTCAGAAGATTGTTAAAAGCAACACAATTTACGGTAAAAAATGAGAGCACAAACGACGACAAAACAGCTCCATGAACTAAACACAGGTCTAGGGAACTGAGAGTCGAAGCCCTCACAGATGGGCGAGTGGAGGACGCAGACACTGTGGAGACACACGCTCTTCAGAAGAGGAGACAGACTGCAGACAGAGTCTGGGGACAGACTGCAGGAGGGCTGGAGTGGGGAGGGCATCTGATAAACCAGGACGCTCAGAAAGGAGCCTGACTGTCTTAAAGGAATGCTGCCCATTGTAGAAACAAGTCCTGCTGCCGGAGGCCCGTCAGCGCCTCAGCTCCCGCTGCGTAACACTCCCAAATCGGAGCAAGGAGGCGGCGGCGGCTGGTCTCAGTGGCCCGGCCTGCGGCCCCACAAGCTCTTAGGAAAGGCCGGAGCTGTAGGGATGAACCAAGCACCCGCGTGTTCAGAAAGCACGTTACCCCAGCTTTAGGAGCCAGCAGGACCGAGTGCCTGGTTTAGGCTCTGTCTCCACAGACAGGGGGCTCTTTATGAAGCAGGCTGCTCCAGGCCACTGTCCTGCCATCCACAGAGACACCCATCCCGGAGGTGGCACTGAACAGATAAACCTAGCTGGGCCCCAGGCGTGGGAGAGGGACCCACCCTCTGAGTTACCAGCACGGTCCAAGGCAGCAGGCTGCGGCAGATAAAAGGGCTCCCAGCCCATGACCACCAGCCTCTATAGACAAGTGCACTGGGCCTGCCACCAGCTCTCTCTTCCCTGCACGCTGTGCCTGCTCCTTCATCCCTACGCAACAGGCAATCTCATCAGAAAGGTGCCTACCATTCCACCTCCTTCAGGTTCCCAGGTGGGTGGACAAACTACAGATGCTTAGGAGCCTGACCCTCCCAGACGCGGCAGGGGGACCCGGGAGGACTGAGGGCCAACCAGCCGTGAAGACGCGGAGAGCCCCCTGCCCGCCGCCTGCTGCTCCGGGCACTGCGGCACCCCCCTCTGCTGAGAGGCCTCCCTGCAGTCTGCGTGGGGTCATGGAGTTAGAGACACACGGACAGACGGACAGTATGCGTGGGACCCAGGCTGCATACGCACGTGTGGGTGTGGTCGGGTGAGGGCAGCATGCAGCGGAGGGGCATGGCGAGGAGGGGGCGTCGCAGAGGGCATCCTCCGGTCGGATCCAGTAGGCCCGGCTGCCCCGGTTACCTTTCCGGCTGCAGCCGCTGCCGGCGCCCGGGAGGCCGTCTTCACAGCCCTCACTCTGCAGGTGCTCGCGCTGCAGCAGCTTGTCCACCCGCTGGATGATGCACTCCAGGCTCTTGTCCACATTCAGCCACACCTTCTCCTTCCAGAGCAAGGGCACGGGGTCAGTGCCGCAGGTGGAACAGAACACAAGCCACAACACTCCCGACTTGGATCCCCACCTGAGCCCCAGGCTCCCTAAATCCCACAATTTAGAAACAGCAAGATAATTCACAACTCCTTATTACAGGTGCATTTGCTTTTCCAAGGACAAATCAACGTCCTGTTTTGTGGAGTGTCTGCCAGTCACTATCCCAGAGGCCAAAGCAGGCAGAAGGGACAGTCTCGTCCCCTCCTCCATCCACTGCAGACCTCACACGACCATCACAGGAGACCGAGGTCCTCTGGGGGGAGCTGCTGACCACGTAGGTTGGGAAGGGGGTGTCTGCAGGAACACAGACAGAATGCGGGATGCTGGGGCGGTGCTGGAGGAGCCCAGTACCTCTGAAGAGCAGACCAACAAGGACAGAGCTGGCTTTGTGATGTGTCACTACAAGAGGGAGAGGTCTGCCCTTGGAGCCCACCCTTCGGGAGCAGCATGACACGATGTCAGAGCACAGCTCCCAAGTCCTCGGTCCCTCAGTTCTAGGACGATGCAGCCCGGTAGGGCCGACAGCCAGCGAGAGAGCAAGGCCTTGCGTTTTCAAGGCCAGCTCAGCGTGGGGGTGGGGGTGGGGGGACTGCGGACTCACCCACTCCTCCTCGTGCCAGTCCACCTGCAGAGAAGACCGGCTGTTCCTGCCCGACCATCGAGCCATGAGGGTGTCCTGGTCATTCCGCAGCATCACCTGCTCCTCCTCAGTCGAGGTGGGCGAGGCCTTGGAGGCGATGTAATCAGGTCGGGCGGCATTCAGCCCATGGATGGAGGTGGCCAGCAGCTTGCAGTCGCACACGGTGACCAGCTGCCGGGTCTGCAGGGACACACGCACACCCAGCCTCTGAGCACCCAAACCGTGCTGGGCAGGCCATTACTGAGAAGGCAGAGGAACCATCCCAGCTCCAACAAGCCCCCTGGCGCTCGCTGCGAAGTGAAGGGCGTGATCACCAAGGATCCTGAGCCCTGGGCGTCACCACCTTGCCCTCCAGGTCTATGACCATAGGCCAGTCCCAGACCGCCACTGCAGGCCGTGTGGGAAACAGACCTGAAGGCAGACAGACCTTCAAGGTCATCCCAATGTCACCGCTTGTGTGGACAGCTCTCAGCAAGTGTGAGGTGTCCAGGGGTTTTCAGACGCCCGAGGGCCCCACCCCACCTGCAGCAGGGGAGTCCCTCTTACCTTGTCAGCCAAGATGGCAAGTGTTCTCTCCAGGCCCGTGGCGGACCTGTCCTTGGCCGCCCTCGACAGCCGCTCAGCGTAGTAACTCACTTGGGTTTTGAGGGTGTTGATCTGGGCGATGATCTCCTTAGCCCTGATGATGTCCTGTGGTATGTAGATGATGGACTGGCAGCTGGATGATGTGCTAGGAAGGATTGAAACAGATTCAAAAGGGTTCTCCCAAGTTGACAAGGCTGGAGACACCCTCCCAACCCCAGCCCGCACCCAACGCAAGGTGAAGCATCCTGTTCCTCAGGGGTGTTTTACTAGGCTAGTCTAGTTGTTGATGGGCAACAGTAAATCTCAGGAGATCCATCCTGTCTATATGGTAGAGGCTTGAAATGTTAAAATACAAGTAAGGCTTTTATCTACATTCCCACGTATCTGTGTTTCTGTGTTCACACGCGCTTGCACAGATACTGAGGCCGGCGGCCATCTGCACACCCACCATCTGTCCCCTAAGAGCCTCTTTCGCCAGTTTCTAACTGTTACCTGAGTGGAGACTTGGGGTCAGCCAATACTGGAGGGGGTCATGCCACAGTGCGAGGAGACCAGTGGGGGCTGGACTTTGCAAAAGGTTCCTGGTTTCTCATTTGGCCAATGAGGACTTCAAACTTCCTACGCATGGACCCACACCCTCCTTTGTGTGTTTACCTCGGCAAGTCCCCAGAAAACAGGGCTTCTGTCCCTTCTCTCCTGCTCTGGGACTGCCTGGCTTAAAAAGCACTGTCCCGAGGGATGAAGAGGGCCTGGAGAAGGTGCCGAACCGGAGGCCAGGCCCGGCCACCTCGGCGACTTAGGAGGCTGGCCCCTCCCCCTCTCTCTTGCCGCCAAGCGACATGTGTGTGCCTCCTGGGAGGTAACGCCAGAGCCACAGCTCAGCCACTGCCCAGCACAAACACCAGCCTCTGGTGGGACCTTCTAGATGGGGACACAAACTGAATGTCTCTTGGCTAAAATGCCAAATCAACCCTATATTACAAACTTCTTTTTCAGACCACCTGAGGAAACGAGGGAAGCAGGGGGAAAACATATAAGGCACCCATCTTTCATGGAATGAGGGGTCTTGACTGATGCCCTCAAAGAACTACCCTTTGACTTTGGGGGAGGAGAGAGAAGGTGGAGGACCACACATTCCTCCGTTGCCCTGGGAGATGACGGTCACGTGATCAGGGATGAGGCCTTTCCTTACCGTGCTCTTCCCAGGCTAACCCGAGGCCCGGTCCCCAAGAAACGGCCCTGCCCTGCCCCCTGACAGACTACGGGGTCAGCATGCACACACGAAAACCACAGCACCCCAGAACAAACAACACCCCAAGCCCAGACGTCACAGTGGGAAACGATGGAGGTGTCAGAAGCCCATGCAGCAGGCCGCAATCAGGCCCGCTCGGCATGAGGTGTGCACGCTGCTCTCCAAGCTGCAATCCCTCTGCCCAATGAATAGCTGCCACTCAGCGGAGTCGAGTCTCAGGACGGGAGTTTTCAAATCTCTTCTTCCCAGGCCCCAGTCTTGAGAGAACACACGTGACGTGAGATACGCATTCGTGTGTGTGGAATGGTGTGTCCACTTCAGCAAATACAAAGCCTCCAGCCAGCCAGAGAGGAATCACCTCCCCACTCACCACAAGTCCTCACACACAAGTCCTATCAGTAACTGGGGCTCACGGAGGGGACACGTGGTGGGAGTGAGAAAGGACATGCCTCAAACAGCGGCTGTTCATGGACGACTGTGAACAGCAATCGTGTGAGCCCAACCAAAGACTAAAAATGGGGCAGCTGCAGAGCCTCGGCTGGGGAACAGGGCCATGTCCCCGCGGCACCCTGGGCCCTGGGCTGCTCCAGCTCCATAAAGGTAGCAGTTCCGAGAGAAGCAGAAGCCTCACAAGTTCTGGTGCAAAACCCCCTGTTCTGGACTGGGGCTGTGCTCTGTGTGAGCCTGGGGAGGCCTGGAGCAGCACCTGGGGACCCTGGTCAGCAGGCACCAGGATTCCGGCTGCCATCTCATTCTTTGGTGGAGAAAGGTATCTGGTTATATTAACCCCTGGTTTGCCCTCCAGGGGTAAAACTGACCTAGTAATTTGTTTTGCAAATCTCCATTAACCATTAAATAGAAAAATGTAAGCTGGGGACTTCCCTGCTGGTCTACGGTAAAGACACTGTGCTTCATTGGCAGGGGTTCAATCCCTGGGCAGGGAACTAAGACCCTATGTGCCGTGAGGCATGGCCAAAGAAAAAAAAGTACGCTGGTTTCATTCCTGTGATAGGTGAAGGGGAAGTAAAAACAGAAGAGCCTTAGATGGCAGTAAAAGAAGCCAGGAAGGGACTCCCAAACACACCACTGCACTGGCTTGAAGCATCAGCACCTGGGACCTGCCTGGCCTAGGTTCCTCCTCGTCATGGAGAAAGAGCTGGGTCTTTGCTCCCAGTGACGCAGCCAGACTGGGAGGGTTTGAAACAGCAGACTGGAGACGGGCTATTCATTATCACAGAACATTGCAGTTGGAAGGAGAGTTCTGTCTACGGGGCTACAGCGAGGAGCCTGCGGGGGCGCGGCAGGGGCAGCACCTCAGAGGAGGGGACAGGCTTTCTCTGCACGAGAGCAAGACCCAAACGCACACTCTCCACAGACAGAAAACTCACCAACACTCCTCAAAACTGCTAAAGAAAAGAACCAAGACGAAATATTAGCAGCTTGTTAGCAAACGGCAAATGCAAAACAAAAACCGTAAAAACCAAGTTCTCTTTCATCAAAATTCTGGAGATAACTTGAGGAGGCCCGGACTACAGGGAGGATTCAGCTTAGGACCCAGCATGCTCCCTGGTCAGAGCAGCATCTGCGCGTGCACCTGAGCCCCAGGGAGACGCCCCATGTGGTGGGTTGCACCTGCGCCGAGCAGAGCTCCCCTGGTGCAAACCATCCCTGCAGGTGGTTTTATGCCATTAGTAGGAAAATACATAAACATGTACATTATACATTTGAAAAATACTACAAAAGCCTTTGGGGAATAAGAGTCCTGAAGTTCACATGCAGGATAACTAGGCCTCAACACCCCGACCTTCCTGGGACAGGGCCAGCCCCGTGACTGGCTTTCTCCACCAGAGCCCCAGGCCAGCTGGAGTCGCACGCTCACACCTCCACACGGCCACATGCAGTGCAGCAACACACATCAGCTGGCCGTGCAGAGCGGCGGAAGCTGTCTTTGCCCTAAGTCCCAGGGGACCACCAGGCTGGCGAATCCTCAGGTGGGTCTGGTGGCCTGGTTTGAGGAGCCCTTGGTGGGGCCAGATCAGGGTCAAGGGGGCTGCAGGAAGGTGGGCAGGATGCCAGAGATGCTGCCCAGTCTGAGGCTCACCTCCCACCCTCTGCCCTGGGGACAGCTCTGAACTCTGACTCCCTGGGTGCTCTCTGCCCGCCTGCTCACCCCTCAGCCCACAGCCCACTGCACCAGTCCTTTCTCCCCAGCCCGTGCAGTCCAAGGTCAACCTGCTCAAGCCCTGTCCTGACACCCGCCCAGGACAGAGAGCCAGGCTCTGGCCTGAGGCTGTGGCCAGCACTGTGTGTGCACTCAGTCACTAGGGCTCCATAACTGCTCCGCGGGTCCTCCTGAGAATTGTGGACCTTGGTGTGGGGGCCCCTCAAAGCGCTCTGCTCTGGCCCCTCAACTCCACATTCTGCACAGGCTGCTCTGCTGTGGCCCCAGCATCTTCTTTCTCTGAGACACCACCTTCTTCTCCTAGCCCTTCCAGGATCACTCCCCGGTCCTTCCTCCCCATCTTCTCTAGAACCTCGCTCCATCAGTGTCCTCCACCATCTCCCCTCGTTTGCCACATCTCTCCTACCAGCCTGAGACAAGCTTGTCTTGGTCCCACTCCGCCTCCACCTCTAGGTCCGAGTATCCCATGGCATCACCTACATGCATCCCGTCTACTTCCTACACCCGAGCCCTCTGGTCAAGGTAAGTCGAGCCAGGTGATGTTCGGTAAGACCACCAATGCCTCCCGGTGTCGGACACGACAGCTCGATTTAGTGCTCTCTCCCTGCCCCACTCGCCCTGCAGCAACCCCTGCGCCTTCTTTCCAGCAGGCTCCTAGCACCGGTGTCGACCTACCGGCCCAACCTGTCCGCTCTCGTGGCCCTGCCCCTCTCGCCGGGGCTCCACCCGAGGCCCCGCCCCTTATCACGTGCCCCTCCCACCTCGCTGTTTCCCCCCTCTGATTGGTCACTCCCTGCAGCCCCTGGAGCCTCTCTGACCCTGGGGACACTGACCACCAATGTCCTCCAGGAGAGGAAACCATCTTTCCCAGGCCTCACACCCTGTGACCTTCAACCAGGGTTAAGGGCAGCGGAGCCTGCCAAGTCCGCGAGGGCCAGAGGCACCCTTCTCCAGGCAGAGTTTTCAATCAGCTGCCGTTTTGCAGGGACAGGCCCTCGGGCACTCGTCACCGCCCAGCGTGGACGTGCACAGGGTCCTCGGGCAGCTCCCCCAACCCTGCGAGAGCAGATCGGACGGTGGGCGTTTCTACGGCCCCGTTGTGACCTTTTCTTTAATCTAGGAAGCCTGACACAGCGGAACAAGGAAGACAGACACCCTCTGAGAACTTACTGTTTCTTAGTCTCTTCGAACTTGTGCAGCTTTTTGCGGAGGCCTCCTGACTTGAAGCCCTGGCAGTGTGCTGCTGGCGCCCCGATGGTGACGATGTCGTAGTTCTGATCTGAATGACAGAAAGCTCTCCTCCGTTACTCTGGCTCAGGCCTGTAGACAAGCTGGCTACGGGGATATGCACGAAGCTCTGGGGTCCCCTGCCAGCCCAGCTCCAAACAGCCTGTGGCAGCCCTAGTCCCACCATCCAGGGTGCCCGAGGGCCTCTGGAGCCCAGGACCCTCATCTTGGCCCAGAGGGGCCTGCGTGGGTCTCAGGGTGGGGCCACACAGCGACCCACAACACTCAGCCTCAGAAGGATGACCTGTGGGCCGTTTTCTGCCCCAGAAACGCAAGGGAAGCTGGAGGGAGGACAAACGAGAGGAAGGTGCCAGAGCTCCTCACAAAGGCCTTGGAGGCCCCCGTGCTGTCCTCTCAGCCCAACACCATAGCAGACATACAGGACAGATGTGGGACAGCTCAGGGACCAAGCGCCAGTGGGGGGAAGAAGCAACATGATTCACGTGACAGTTACCTGCTCCTCCATCATCCTGAACTCTCATCCTTTGTATGTGCAAGTTAGTGGGAACAAATTCTAGCTTTTTATCTGCTTTCAAACTGCTTGCTTTGAACGAGGGACCTAAGGATCGGAAGGAGAGAAGGTAAAGATGGTCAGCCCGTACCCAGCACGCAAGAAAAGCGCACACAGACGGGATGTCGTGAGGATACTGCTGTGCGTGAGCAGGTGTGTGTCGGCAGAGGCCTCGAGATTCCAAGCTGCCCACGAGCACACTGCCTTCCCTGATGGCAGGGGTATGAAACATTGAGGGACAGCAGCTCCTGGCCAGAAGATTGGTCTGGGGTCCCAGGGGTGAGTGGAGGCAGGTGGAGCCACCCTTGGAAGCTGAGGAACGACACCAGACCTGCCTACACCAGCTCTCAGCCGAGAGGTCTGACTCGGGGATGGGACTGTATGCGGCACGCTGTCAGCACCGCTATAAAAAGCAGGTGGGCCCGTGCCAGAAAGTGCCTGTTCCCACTGCAGAGCTTTCCAGCATCTAAGAAGCTTCGTGACAGCAGCGACACATCTCAAATCTGAAAAGTGATGAGAAGGTCTACTCATCACCCCAGGTCGGTCAAGGTGAGCAGACACCACAGGGCACCTAGTCTGGCCGTGGAACACACACTCACACATCCTCGCGTACACCCTGGGTGGCTCAGGAGTTTGGACCGTGTTTTCTAACAAGATATTCACAATCTTACTTCTATAACTGGAATACTTAACTAAGTGAAGAATTACATGCCAAGAAAAGAAAGGGATTATAAATTACGGTGACGAGGAGAAATAAACATTTCATTTAGTGAAAAATGGCATGTTTATTTTGCCAGCATAGAAAATGAAGACTGGACACCATCTGCTCCATGCTTTGCCCATGAAACTGTTCCCCAGCTACTGATGGGGGGGCCCACGGACCAGCAACACCAGCTTCCTGGGAGCCTGTTAGAAACCAAACCCCGGATCTGCTGTTCACAAGATTCTCAGGGGACATAGATGCACCATGGCATCTCAGAAGCTCTGCTCCAGAAACACCCAGATGTGCAGGTTTCAGACTCCCCCAGGTAACAAGCAACCAGCACCAGCAAGTCCCCACGTCCCTTTAGGAAAACACTGCATTTCTCGCAGAAACACACTTAGATCTCTTCAGACGCAAACCAAACCCAGGGCACCATCATCTTGTCATCATTGCTGTATCTGGCTTCTTCTCAATCAAGTTCACGGACAGGTTCCTACGTTCTGTGTCAGAATCACATTAAGGGCCTATGACTTTCCTGAAAACCTGAAATTCTATTATAAAAAGGGGAAGAAGGGAAGAATCTGGAGAATAAAGTAATAGAAAACCAACGTCATTCCATTGGCATCAAAAGGGAGTGAGTTTATCATCGTTTTCTAAATCTACCTGAACATGCTTTGAAAAATCAAGTGGCACCTTTTAATAAGAGGTGTCTGTATTTCATTTTCTCTTCTAAGCCTTAAAATGGAGAGCTCCACTCAGACAATTTGTGTGTGTGTGTGTGTACTCATGTTTTTTTCTGACTCTGCGACCCCATGGACTGTAGCCCACCAGGTTCCTCTGTCCATGGCATTTTCCAGGCAAGAATACATGTGTGGGTTGCCATTTCCTTCTCCAAGCGATCCTCCCGACCCAGGGATTAAACCTGCATCTTTTGCGTCTCTTATACAGGCAGGCAGATTCTTTACCACTGGTGCCACCTGGGAAGCCCATATATCAACGTAAGGACCACAAAACAGTTAAACTAGGAAATCTAGAAAACTCTGCCTTGATTGGTCTCAAGGCAAAAGGCCTACATCCTTTTGGGCACTGCACTGACGCAGGACCGAGATGAGGCAGTCACATGAACCGACAGCCTGGGACTGTCTTTCCTCACTTTCATCCTACAGTGGTTTGTCTTGGCAGGTGACTCCACGGAAGGAACTTTCGATGCAATTCACACATTTGCCTTAATTAAGATCTGAAAACTCCATATTTGAAAGAACCAACATCTATATGAGAATCTGTTTTTAAAAATCCCTTAGAGCCTCTGTCCATGGGCATATGTGAGCAACCCTGGATTCCGGGTTTTTAGCTGGGAAATGAGAGTGGGCGCCCACCTTTGTACTGATGGAGGTCGGTCAGGTTCTCCTGGTAGGTGAGGATGATGGTCTGGTACTGTGTGACAATCTGGCGCCGGAGGCTCTCCCAGCAGGGGGACAGCTCCCCCAGCTCCTCCAGTTCACACACTCTGCAAGCAAAACACACACGTCAGGCCATGGTGCCCGCTCCCTGGCGGCAGAGGCTCAGGAGCCCTGAGCGCCCAGGAGGACGGATGGCCGTGGACATGTCACCGGTGCCCAGGGAAGGCCCGGTGGGTCTGCAGGGCCAGCAGCAGCACAGCACGGCAGATGGCTCCACACGCAGCTCTAAGAAAGGTGGCCAACCGCTGGCCGCGTGGAAACCGCACAGACAAGCTTCTCGTAGGAACCCAGATGTTCAGGGAAAACTCAGCGAAGGACTGGAGAGGTCAGTGGCTCTGCCATGGCCCCTGTAACCATGCACGTATCCAGAGGCCACAAGAGCGTGAGTCCGACCGTCCCGGACCATAAGAGGACTGGAGCCTGAGGGCAACCCTCTCCCCTCTCCTCACCCCCACCACGGTCTGTCACTGCCCCCTGGGTTCTGGGAAGCACGGGCCTTTCTGCCCTCCCAGGCAGAGCTGCAGAACATAAGGCTGTCCAACGAGCCTGCAGTGGGCTGCTCAGCAGTGGGGGTCCCACAGCCACCAGGCCCTTGAGTCTCACTGGCATCCTTTCCAGGTCTGGGACAAGGACCCTGGGAAACTGGCAACTTCAGCCATCGCTCCCGTCACTGTCTGCATAGGGATGAACTGCCTGGATGTAAAAGGTGTAGGGGTGAGGGGAGAAGAGGACAAGAAAGAGAGGACTTAGGATCTCCACAAAAATGACAGCTGTTTAAGAACTGAAATACATGAGACTTCCCTGGTGGTCCAGTGGCTAAGAACCTGCGATTCCACTTCAGAGCCATGGGTTCAATCCCTGGCTGGGGAAGTAAGATCCTGCTTGCCACGCAGCATGGCCGAAGAAACAGAAATGATATATAATCTCACCTCAGAAGGAAATAATAGCTACATAACCAGAATAATGAACACATACAACAGATTTTTAAAAAAGGATAACCATTTTAGGAAACTGGGGAGAAAGTATAAAAGACCTAAAGGCCTCATCATTTATGAGGATTTTCTTTTCCTAATCAGGAGTTAACCCCTGAAATTGATTGACAGTGCTCTAAGCATATACACAGAAATACAGTAGAAAACACTGACATGGCTGAAGTGGCTGTTTCTTGGGAAATAAACAAGAAAGGTTGAGCATCTCAAGACTTACGTTTTTTGTAAAAAGCCTTTTTGCACTCTTTCACTTTTTACACTATGCACTTTTTCCTCTGGGGGGCTAATTTTATAAATGTTTTTAGGAATCTACTAAATTATCTGAAGTTAAAAAGCCATGCCATTTTATCATGATTAAATCAGCAAAAGGAATGCTGAAGGGGGGAACGGGTGCTTGGCGCTGGTACAGCTGGTCTGTCGGGCGCGCGGCCTTGTGACTTCCTCGCACACAAACGGGGGACACAGTTGAGCAAACTGTTTCCTGCGCCCAGGCCGAGGAGCAGGCAGGCGGCAGGGCTGGGTGTGCGACCAGGCCCCTCTGAGGTCCGCGCTCACCCGCACCGCTACGAGCTTTCCTGTGGGAAGGGGCGGGCGGCAGGAGCCCTGGGCCTCACCTGGCTGCGTCCTCCTCCAGCAGGAGCTTCACGAACTGCCGCGGCACGTGCAGGGACAGCACGCTCTCTGCCATCTGCTCCAGGATTCGCAGGTGGTTGCCCTCGGTGGTCGGGAAGCGGTACATGCGGCAGATGGCACCACCAAACACTTAGGCGGGAGAGACGGGCTGCAGTGAGTGGGTGCGGGCTGCCGTGGCCCCCCTCCCCAGCCTGGATGGAGCCATCACCCCCAGTTCTCCTTACTGTTTATCCCCAGGGAATCAGAACGCTTAAACCCATGCCCACCAAGGGACTAAGCCTCAATGCTCCTGCCCTGAGACATGCAGTCTTGTCATCCCAGACACTGGTCATCAAGTCATCAAGACAGGGCAAAAGGAAGGAGGAGTCCCTTCCCTGGAGGGTCATCAGTTCCCAATATGCTGAACCAAAGAATGGCATGCTGACGTGCAGAGAGGTACCGCTGGCGGACACGCCCGTGACAATCAGAGCAGGTGAGGGAGGGGACCGTGGGCCAAGTGGACACTCGCAAAAGTGGCAAGAGTACCCACAGAGGAAGCAGTTTACCCGATTTCAGTAAAGTGTCTTTTCGCAACGAAGCGTATTTGGATCGGATCCCCAGGGCCTCGGTCAAGCTCTCATCAACAGGCAGAACCATCTAAAACCACATACACACAAGCATGACGAAACTGACCTGGATGACACCAGGGCGTATCACAGATCATAAGACTCCTGGAATCTAACACCCACAGGTAACGCTATGAGAAACAGCCAGCCCCAGCCCCAAGCAAGAGAAGCCGCCGCCGGGACACTGGGCGCCCTCCGCCCGCACGGCTTTCTGGAAGTGCGCTCTTCTGGCCGAGCCACTCCCCTCTGTCTCCGGGTGTCTGCTGTGCGGGATGAAAGGGCGCTGGTAGACGGGCCCGGGAGGGCTTCCAGAGCTAATGTCCCAGTCTTATTTTGGGTACAGTGAGCGATCTCTGTATTTTACAATGACTGCTTATCAGTATTTAGGCTCTTACACGAGAACTCTTGTTTGAGAGTGTCTGTGTGAGTGGCTGTGCATGGGGTGGGGGGCAGGGAGAGGTGGCGGTTGGGGGGGACGCAGGTGTGCGATGGGGCCCAGGCAGCCATGGGCAGGGAGTGTCTGACAGAGGAAGACCTTAACCCACCCTCAGACACAACCTGGGTCTCAGTCCACACCCGCAAGCCACCTCTCCCTCCCGAATGCAGCTCCCGCTATAGAAGAGCCAGCTGTGACCTGTGAACAGAGGCTGGGGACGCCTCCTCTCTACCGGATAAGTGCCTGGGGGCGCAGGCATGTCTGATAGGGGCCCCATTGTCCCCTCCCCTGAATTCAGAGGCCACGTCCATTAGGAGGGCCCACCAGTCCACCCAGAGGGAGAAGATGCTGGGCTCACCCTCCCGTTAACGGTGTCCAGAGACCGGGTCACTGGGGGCCGCTGATCTGACTTCTCCTCCATTTGCCAGCCCATCACAGTGATGTTGCCCACGCGGTCACTCTCTGCAGACCTGCAACCAGCAATGCACTTCGGTATTGGTGCTGTGACTGTGCTTCATCTTCTGCTAAATGCAAAGCTCAGCATCCTGGATGGTCGAGGGGTCCTGGGGGGCACCAGGACGGGGCCAGCCGATTGGTCCAACAGCAGTGACCACACGCAGGGGCTCTGAAGGCAGCAGGTGAGGAAAGCTGGGGCCACAAGGGAAGACTGCAGCGGGGAGGGGGCGATGCCCCAGAGGGAAGCACAGATGTGCCAGTAAAGCGGGAGGGGAGGAGCCACCGCCAGCCTGGGAGGCAGGGGCCCCTCAGCCCTGGGCTGCTCCTCCCCCGAGAGTGACAGGGGCACACCTCAGAGTCAGGACCCAGAGCATCTTCTTCTGGCACAGGACCCCTTCCTGCTCCATCCACTCCATCCTCAAGCTCTGATTAGCCTCAAGGCCTAGGCCTGGACCGCAGTTGGCAGAGGTCACGTGGGAATTCCCAAAGCCTCTGGATCCTTCCTGATACAGCTGAGGCCCCTCTAGCCCTGGTCAGTTTCACCCCAAGACCCCTCACGGTGGCTGCCGGCTGCCTGGGCCCATCTGATTCATCCAGGGAAGCTCTGGTGAGTCTCTGATTCATAAAGCAATACTGTGAAGCCTTGAGTTTTTTTATCTAAGGTGCAGGACTTAGCCAGTTTCTAAATTTTTGCATGGTCACATCCATCCACCGACCATATCCTTTGTGACTCATGCTCATGGTTCTCATGCCTGGGAAAGTCAACCCCAGTCACACTGTTCAGTGATCATCTCTAGCTGCTTTTAAAAAGGATGATGTCCAACCAGAATCGGCTCAGGCAATGGATGAACCTGAGTGTTTTCCTCTAACCATCCTTCCCCATTCTCCCATCCACCCATTCTCCCAAGACCCTTCTCTCATCCTAAGCCAGGCTCTCCACACACACAGGATCACTGCAGGGCAAGCCCTCCCCAACACCTGCAACGCTGTCATCTCCACATCTTCAGAATGTCAGACTACTGGCGAGGAATTCATCTCCTACATCGAAACTGTCTTTGCTATTTTGGACTGTTTACCCAATTTTTACATTATTGCGGGGGGGGGGGGGGTGGGTGGAGAGAGAGAAAGAAAGAATACTACATCAGGGTGGGACCTGCCCCTAAAATGAATTTGGGAAGGACTGACATCTTGACCCCATCACAGTGGGGGCGGCCCCTCCCTCCCCTCATTTGTTCCTTCCACAAATACTTCCTGAGCAGCAGACACTGTTCTAAGTCTTGGGATACCTGCTCCCTGGTAGATCACATCCTATTAGGGGGGAGACAGATGACATCCAAATACATTTGGTATTATTTGGTACACAAAGGTTTTCCTTTAGGTCTGCATCCTTCCCATGAACACTGCACACTTCCATTTCATGACAGGCCCTCTGACAGGCTGAGTTTTTTTCTTTCTCCTCAATGACAACCACCTTCCCCCAAGACTGGCTTCTGGGGTCGGGGGTTGAGGGTAAGACACTCTCTCAATATAGGGTCGGACCTTCCCCATCCGTCCCTGGACCTTGTAATTCCAGATCCTTGCAGACAGACAAAATTAAATACCAACCTTAGTGTTAAATACAACCTATGGTGCCTGTCCTGGAGCAGATCTTTGACGACAAAAGTTCCAGACCCCAGCAAGTACATCTGAGGGAGAGGGGAGACAGCATTAGTATACACGCTGTGCCTCTGCCCCAGCTTTCAGGCCTGGGGGTGGGCCCGGCTGACTGGTTCTCTCAACACGTTTGACTTCATCTCAGGAGCCCAATGGGAGCCTCAGAAAGATGTTCCCAAAGACAGATGCACCCGCACATTAATTCGCAAGCCAGGAGTAAAGTCAGTCTTATATTCACGTCTCAGACAATTATGTAGCTTTAAAAAAAGAAGGGAAGAATATCCCACGAACTACAACATGGTACTTAACTGTTCCCTGAGATCTGTCCTTGACATCATACACGGACAGCTTGATCTGTGTCATCTGATTGATGAGAGAGTCTTGAAAGAAGGCAATGCTGCTTAGAAATATAGGATCATTGGTTCCCTACAATAGAAAAAAAACAATCAGAACACAGAGTTGCATTTTTATTAAGTGGTTGCTTTTGAAATACACCAACATGCTTAGAAGGAGAAACTAACTAATATCTTACCAGCTTGGATCAATATATTCTTACACCGATGCAGACAAGCCAAACTCTGCCTTCCAAGAAAGACAAAGCCTGTGGGCCCAGATACCATGAAGAGACCACCACACGCCGGGCTCACAAGCTCACCCTAAGAGCTCCTCCCCCCAGTAGGAAAGACTTTCTGTAACTGAAAGGAGCTGAACATCCCCATGTGTTCTTACTCTTACGACTTGAGGTGTATTTGGATCTACTACCGCAGGCTATTCCTTTAAGCTGAGGCAGATGGAAAGATGAAAGAGGAAATGAATGGTCAGAGTTGTTTATTTCTAGAATCCTGGGTTTGGAACAATGGAGGTCTGGCTTTTTTAAGGCTGTCTTTTTCTGAGGATGAGCTGTGAGTCTCTAGATCATAGATCACTATTTCTTGGCAGCCCAGCCCTGACCTCAAACGCCATTACATTAAACTCACTTCCTCAGGTGGTGGTTAGTGATCTCAGCCAAACTGTTAGTGGTTCCTGTCTGTACCTGCAGTTCCAGATCTGATGTCTCGACACCTGCTGGACAGTCTTGTCCCATGCCTCCCGACCCCCACCCTGCCGTGACCTGTTGGGGCCACAGCCCCACCCAACCACTCCATCCGCTGGTTCAGACTCCCTCCGACTCTCCTTCCAAGGAGGCTCCAGACCCAGGCACCTGCTTTGCTGCCCTCTCTGTTGTCTGAACCACCCAGGGACGAGTCACCCCTGCAAATTCCGCCTGCAGAGCCTCCCTCTCACACCCCCTTCTTTCCATCCCTCCCCGCTGCCGGTGAGGCCCCAGATCACTCCCCCAGGACCTGCCTCAAGCACACCTGTAGACCAGCCAGCTACGGCACGGCCAGACCCCCTGCTTCCCTGTAGCCCTGCGGTGCCTCTCGCACACACGATACAGTATAACCCGCACAGCGAGAGGCCAGGACCCTGTCCCCCAGGCACGGTCCTGGTCTCCCCGCTCTCACACGGCCCACTCCACTCGTCTGCATGGAGCCGCGCTCATTTCAGCCTCCTCACCCGCAGCCTGGGAGACTCCCTGAGGGCAGGGGCGGGGGCTCAAGGGCCACCGGGGCATCCACAGCTCCCAATGCTGTGCTTCGTGTGTAGGCAGTGCTAGACAAAAGCTTAGAAACCGGAACTGTTGGCTTCAACTTGAAATAAATTTCCAAGGGAATGAGAGGGTCTATCAGGCAAAATATAAAACTTGGAAAGAAGGAGAAATGCAGTTTGCTTGCGGGAGACTGCCAGGGAGGGCAACATTCACACAGAAACTCACATCACCAACAAAATCTTACAGGAGCTCACACCAGCCACCTCCTACACTGAGTTTCATAACTTACATAATGTGCTCAATTATCTAAAGAAATCTGGTAAAACTCCTGAGGTGACTGTGTATCATTTCATTTCATGTAAAGAGTAAATACATAACACACAACTAAAAAAAGGATATAAAAATACAAACCAATAAAAAGTATGGCCAGTAAGAGGGTTGGTTGATAGTTAACATTCTCTAAACTCTGATTAAAGACCCCAAGTGTCCAAAAGTAGCAGCCAACTAGAGATGAGAAAGGAGTATGAGGTCTCACCTTTTAAAAAGCAATCAACCTTAGAGGATCACTGTTCAAAAGCAGCCAGCCAACAGATAATCAACAACTATAAAGGATATGGCAAATAAAGGGTTTCTCTGATGGCTATGTGGTGAAGAGCCCCCTGCCAATGCAGCGTACTTGGGTTCAATCCCTGGGTCAGGAAGATCCCCTGGAGGAGGAAATAGCAACCCACTCCAGTATTCTTGCCTGGAGAATCCCATGGACAGAGGAGCCTGGCGAGCTACAGTCCATGGGGCCATACAAGAGTCAGACATGACTGAGCAACCATAAACAACATGGCAAATAAAACTACCACCCAGATGAGTAAGTGTGATGAAAGACACCAATGTGCTGAACATTCGTGAAAGAAGAGCGACAATCTGCAGGAATACAACTGCAGCTGCGGGTGCTCAGGCTGCTGAGCAGACCTCCCACCAGGACCAGAAGCAGTCTTGGAGCCGCCGGCAGCAAGAAGCACCCACCTCGATGATCTCCGTCTGTGCGTGCTTCGTCCAGAAAGCCTGGGGCGGGGTGGTCACACTCACTGCCACAAAGCTGTTTGGTTTCCGATCTAGTGATGGAGTATGCAGCTCACTGCAGGCTACAAAATTAAAACAGAATAGAAATAAAATAAATAAAGTAGAAATGGATCTTAAAAATCAGACTTCAGTTAGTTCTCTGTTCCAAACACAACCAAAGAAGGTAAAAGAAGTAAAACCCACACAACGGAATGAGATGATCGCTCTTGACTGTTGTTACAGGGAGGAGACTTTTTAAATTAGAAATGATCCCTTCTCATTCCTCCCAGCTTTCCTGGCCCTCAGGACAGCAATGCCATAACTGCCAATGGAAGGCTCTCTCCGTCCACGGAATGGATGACACAAGAAAGGTCTGACCCATGAAGTTTGACCTTAATAACTAACTGGAGCTAAGCAGCCACAGAGTCTATGAAATCAAGACCCAGCAACACACGCCCACATCCAGGGCTGCTGCACTCCTAAGCTCACAGGATCCCTGGGTCTGTGTGTGACCTATGTTGGAAGCTAATCAAAATTCTATCGCAAAATAAAGTTTTTTTTAAGAAAATTATTGTTCATTCATTTTCCTTATAAGACTCATATCAGATGTGAGATTACTAAACATGTGTCTTTTTAGAACTAAAGACACTTCATAGAACTGTTTCAGTTAGAAAATGTACTGCACTAAGCATTTTGAAATAGATTGTAAGACTCAGATAAGTCAATCATAGAAGGGACCCACAAGAAAAATGATATTTCTTTGAATCTAATGTGCTATCTATTGTAAAATGCATTATGAAAGAAAAAAAGGCCCACTTCCATTAACCTATGATTAGCCATTAACTGTAAGACACTTTCTGACTAAAGAGATACTAAAAGATGAGAAAGATATCCACCTTGTGACTGATGAAATATATGGTAAATCAAAGTCCAAAACTAATAACAAGAACTGGTTTTTCTGGAGAGGCAATGAACATGCCCCAGAGTGCTGAAAGCCTTTGCTTAATTCCCAGAGTTCTGAAACAATTGATTATTTTTATTTTAAATTTTTAATTTTTTATAGAATTTTAAAAGTTACTTTCCATTTAGTTATTACAAAATAATGGCTCTATTTCTCATGCTGCACAATACATCCTTGATGCCATCTTATACCCAGGAGCTTGTGCCTCTCAATCCCCTAGCCCTATATGCCCCTTCCTTGCCTTCTCCCCTAGAAACCACTAGTTTGTTCTCTATATCTGTGAGTCTATTTTTCTGTTATATTCACTAGTTTGCTGTATTTTTTAGATTCCATATATAAGTGATCAGCTCAGCTCAGTTGCTCAGTTGTGTCTGACTCTTTGCGAACCCATGAACTGCAGCACACCAGGCCTCCCTGTCCATCACAAACTCCCGGAGTTTACTCAAACTCATGTCCATTGAGTCGGTGATGCCATCCAGCCATCTCATCCTCTGTCGTCCCCTTCTCCTCCTGCCCCCAATCCCTCCCAGCATCAGGGTCTTTTCCAATGAGTCAGCTCTTCGCATCAGGTGGCCCAAGTATTGGATTATAAGCTTCAGCATCAGTCCTTCCAATGAACACCCAGGAATGATCTCCTTTAGGATGGACTGGTTGGATCTCCTTGCAGTCCAAGGGACTCTCAAGAGTCTTCTCCAACACCATAGTCCAAAAGCATCAATTTTTCGGCGCTCAGCTTTCTTCACAGTCCAACTCTCACATCCATACATGACCACTGGAATAACCATAGCCTTGACTAGATGGACCTTTTTTGGCAAAGTAATGTCTCTGCTTTTTAATATGCTGTCTAGGTTGGTCATAACTTTCCTTCCAAGGAGCAAGCGTCTTTTAATTTCATGGCTGCAATCGCCATCTGCAGTGATTTTGGAGCCCCCAAAAGTAAAGTCAGCCACTGTTTCCACTGTTTCCCCATCTATTTGCCATGAAGTGATGGGACCAGATGCCATGATCTTAGTTTTCTGAATGTTGAGATTTAAGCCAACTTTTTTCACTCTCCTCTTTCATCAAGAGGCTTTTTAGTTCTTCTTCGCTTTCTACCATAAGTGTGGTGTCACCTGCATATCTGAGGTTATTGATATTTCTCCTGGCAAACTTGATTCCAGCTTGTGCTTCCTCCAGCCCAGAGTTTCTCATGATGTACTCTACATATAAATAAGCAGGTGACAATATACAGCCTTGGCGCACTCCTTTTCCTATTTGGAACCAGTCTGTTGGTCCATGTCCAGTTCTAACTGTTGCTTCCTGACCTGCATACAGGTTTCTCAAGAAGCAGGTCAGGTGGTCTGGTATTCCCATCTCTTTCAGAATTTTCCACAGTTTATTGTGATCCACACAGTCGAAGGCTTTGGCGTAGTCAATAAAGCAGAAATAGGTGTTTTTTCTGGAACTCTCTTGCTTTTTCGATGATCCAGCGAATGTTGGCAATTTGATCTCTGGTTCCTCTGCCTTTCCTAAAACCAGCTTGAACATCTGGAAGTTCACGGTTCACATATCGCTAAAGCCTGGCTTGGAGAATTTTGAGCATTACTTTAGTAGCATGTGAGATGAGTGCAATTGTGTGGTAGTTTAAGCATTCTTTGGGATTGTCTTTTTTTGGGACTGGAATGAAAACTGACCTTTTCCAGTCCTGTGGCCACTGCTGCGTTTTCCAAATTTGCTGGCATATTGAGTGCAGCACTTTCACAGCATCATCTTTTAGGATTTGAAATAGCTCAACTGGAATTCCATCACCTCCACTAGCTTTGTTCGTAGTGATGCTTCCTAAGGCCCACTTGACTTCACATTCTAGGATGTCTGGCTCTAGGTGAGTGATCACACCATCGTGATTATCTGGGTCATGAAGATCGTTTTTGTACAGTTCTTCTGTGTATTCTTGGCACCTCTTCTTAATATCTTCTGCTTCTGTTAGGTCCATACCATTTCTGTCCTTTATTGAGCCCATCTTTGCATGAAATGTTCCCTTGGTATCTCTAATTTTCTTGAAGAGATCTCTAGTCTTTTCCATTCTACTGTTTTCCTCTATTTCTTTGCATTGATCACTAAGGAAGGCTTTCTTATCTCTCCTTGCTATTCTTTGGAACTCTGCATTCAGATGGGTGTATCTTTCCTTTTCTCCTTTGCTTTTTGCTTCTTTTCTTTTCACAGCTATTTGTAAGGCCTCCTCAGATAGCCATTTTGCTTTTTGCATTTCTTTTTCTTAGAGATGGTCTTGATTCCTATCTCCTATACAGTGTCATGAACCTCCATCCATAGTTCATCGGGCACTCTGTCTATCAGATCTAGTCCCTTAAATCTACTTCTCACTTCCACTGTATAGTCATAAGGGATTTGATTTAGGTCATACCTGAATGGTCTATTGGTTTTCCCCACTTTCTTCAATTTAAGTCTGAATATAAGTGATATCATACAGTATTTATCTTTCTCTGACTTATTTCACTTAGCATAATGCCCTCCAAGTCTATCCATGTTGCTGCAAAGGACAAAATTTCATCCATATTTAATGCTTGAGTAATATTCCATTGTTTATATTTCTGTGTGTGTATGTGTATACTCACATCTATAATATGTACATATACACACATACAACAGATACATACACACACCCTCCACATCTTTATCCATTCATCTGTTGATGGGCACTTAGGTTGTTTCAGCATCTTGGCAACTGAACTAATTGATCTGCACCATTTTTTCATTGCCTTTATGGAGGAGAGGATTTTTAGAGGTCTTTACTCCTGTTCTCATCATCCTCATTTATTTCTCAAATGCTCACTGGGGATTTAAAATTCAGAAACTGATTTTTACTTCTGTAAATTAATCTTCTGAAAATTGATCTCTTTGTAATATGTTCTCATACATTTTTATGGATTTTCATTTATTATTGGATATAAGAAGATACAAAGAGCCTAGGTTTTCATTCAATGAGCTCTGACAATCATACACACTCACAAAACAAGATAACTTTCTCCATCAGACAAGAAAGTTCCCCCTCCCACTTCCCAGTCAATTCCCCTACCTGTGCAACCACTTTCTGATTTTTACCATTTTTGTCTGTCCTTGAATTTCTTGAACATAAATGGAATGTTTTTAAGATTCATCTGTACTGTTTATATACTCATAATTCATTCTTCTTTTTAAAAACTGATGAATTATATTGCATCGTATGAATATACCAAAATTTACTTACCAGTCACTGTATGATAATAGACAGTTGGGTTGTTTGCAGTTTTGAACCATTATAAATAAATGACATCTTTTTGTGAACATGTTTTCTTTTGCATAAGCACTTATGAGTGGAACTTCTATGTTACAGCAGAGAAGAATATGCTTAGCTTTGTAAGAAGCCGACAGATTTCTAAAGTGGCTGCATCATTTTATAATCTCACCAGCATACCAGAGTTCCAGTAGCTCTGAAGCCCACGAACATTTGGTGGAGTTAGCCTTCACCTTAGTTGTTCTAAAGAACGTGTTTTCATTTGCACTTCTGCGATGACTAATGATGTTAAGCATCTCTTCACCACGTGTTTATTGTTCATTTTTATAACTTCTTCTGTCAAGAGTCTGCTCAAGTCTTTTGCTCATTTTTAAACTGATTTTTTTACTGTCAATTTGTAAGCATTTTATCCTAGATCTGTCCTTTGTCAGGTATATGTAAATATTTTTCTCCAGTTTGTGGTCTATTTATTCATTTTCTCAAAGATTTCTAGAATTTTCTATTTTAGATTTTTAATTTTAGGGACTAGCAGGCATAAAAACATCCCTCCCCTCAAAAAGTACCCACATTCTCATCCCAGGAACTTTTGAAAATATTACAATACAGGCAAAAAGGACTTCATAGATGTAACTAAGGTCAGGGAATCTTGACATGGAAAGATTACTGCAGATTATCTGGATGAGTTTAATCATATGAGCTCCTAAAAGTACAAGAGGAAGATGGAAGGGTGAGTTACAAAGATGTGAATAAAAAAAAAAAAAGACTGGAGAGGTTCTAAGCATGAAAGGCACTCAACCTGCCGTTGCTGGCTGCGGAGAGAGAGGGAGGAGCCACAAGCACAGAACGTGAGCGGCCTTCGTAAGCCGAGGACAGGCCTCGACTGGTAGCTAGCGAAGAAATAGGGACCTCAGTGCTCAAACCACAAGGAATTCATTCTGCCAACAACTTGAATGAATAAGGAGCCACCTTCCCCCCTAGAGTCCCCAGGAAGGACCGCAGCCAGGCTGATGCTTTGACTTTGGTGTTTATGGGATTAAGTAGAGACCTGGCTGAGCCCTTTGGTTTCTGACCTAAGGGGAACTGTAAGATAATAAATTTGGCTCGCTTGGAGGTGTTATATCGTGGCAATTGTTACAGCAGCAATAGAAAACTAAAACATATAGTACTTTCTGCCAAGCAGTCAACCTTTGCCTAACCCGAAGTTGTGGTTGCGAGTTCTTCAGTTTCTTCTCTTCCGGGCGCTTTAAGGTCGTCTCATCTTTATAAGGCACACCTTTATTTATTTCTGTGTGGCTAAGTAGGGTCTCTGTGGCCGCGCAGGCTTTTCTCTGGCTGCGGAGAGAGCAGGGGCCACTCTTCAGCTGTGGGGCACGGGCGTCTCACTGAGGGGGCTTCCCTCGTTGCAGAGCGGGGGCTCCAGGTGTGTGGGCTTCAGCAGCCGCAGCTCCTGGCCCCCAGAGCACAGGCCCAGTGGCCGTGGTGCACGCGCTTAGCTGCTCCGCCGTATGTGAGATCTTCCTGGACGAGGGGCTGAACCCATGTCTCTTACACTGGCAGGGGGATTCTTCACCACTGAGACACCAGGGAAGCCCTGCTGTCTTTTTCAATTCTGTTCTACTTCTATGATGTCTGCCTCCCTATCAGAGATACGACTGTTCCACTGTTCTCCCTCCTTTAAGCCACACCCCACGGAGACCCTGGCCTGGTCTCTCTCAGCCTGCCCCTCTCATCATGTGAGGCTAGAACACCTGGGTCTCTCAAAGCCCAGTGATGGCAGGTAGACTGAGATACAGCAAGTGGCCCGAGGCTGGAAAGACTGATGTCAGCTTAAGGGCTGATGGGCCAACTGCCACTCTCAGAAAATACCTCCCTACAAGTGACATGTTCTCCTGGCCTTGTCCCTATCCAACCTGTCTAAATCTCACCCAAGGTTTAATCACTAGCTCAGTTCCATGACTTCCTTGAAGCTTCCTCTCAGCGGCCCACACTCACATCTCCTGTTTATCACTTACATAACTCCTCTGGCATATTTCCATAGAAACCATTAATCCCTGATGTGTATGTGGTGTCTTTCCAACCAGAGCATCTGTAGTCCCAGCTGAATAAATGCTATTGAGGTAAACTGGTAAAACACATTTCAGGTGCGTATCATTTGACTCATATCCTTAGGATACTATATATCCTAAGGAAAGAATCAACAAAATATGTGAAAGACCCATGCACAAGTATGTTCACTGTTTGGTGTTTATGATGGCAGACTGAAAGGACCAAAGTGTCCAGCAATAGGAGACCAGCTAAAATAAACACAGGATAGCTACATAGCAGACTCTATGCAGGCATCTAAAATGATGAGGTGGCAGACCCACGTAGACTAAAATGAAAGGACGCCAGTGATGTCCTGCCATATGAAAAAACCACATTAAGAACACTAGGATGATGGAACTTCCCTAGTGGTACATGGCTGGGACTCTGCCTTCCAATGCAGGGTCAGGGAGCTAAGATTCCCACATGCCTCATGGCCAAAAAACCACAACACATAAAACAGAAGGAATTAACAAATTAAATAAAGATTTTTTTTAAATGACTTTTAAAAAACACCAGGATGACAATTCTGTAAATAATTCTATCACCTCCGCAACCAGAAATCATAAAAAATTTCTGTATAGCACTCTGTGGGTGTAAAAAAATATCTGCAAGGATATATACCAAAATGCTAACTGTGAGTCTCTCCAATAGGGTTTTCTTTCCCTCTAACATTTTCTCTAATAAAGGTTTTTAAATGAGTGCTTTTCAGTTTTAAATTCCGTTTTTAAGATAAAATATCTGACCATTCAATTATCCGGCTCCTATTCCTCACCTTCTCTTTTGGTGTGAGTGTAGTAAAATTCATTTAACATACAATTCTCCCTCCCCATTTTAAGCTGTTTCTTCCTCCATCTGTCTAATTAATATGACTATATTATTGCCCTTGACTTGTCAGATTCAGAAACGTCCTGATTTCTAGATTTCTATTATAGCGTGAAGATTTTTATCTCCATTATATCAACTCCCATTGTCTCTCTATAGTCAGGTTAACTCAACGTTTTCATTACATCCGTGTCCTACATTATTAACGCTAGGCAAACACTATTCATTAAGGGTTTCTTTTACTTCTCTCCTGTGTTGGGCTCCGTTCCCTGGATCTTCCTTTTCCTCAGTTTACTCCCTCTTTGGTACAGACTTATTTATTTATTTCTGGCTGAGCTGGATCTTCACTGCTGTGCAGGCCTTTTCTCTGGTTGCAGCGAGCGGGGGCTGCTCTCCAGGTGTGGTGTGTGGGCTTCTCAGCGCGCAGCATGGGCGCTCAGGCATGCGGGCTTCAGCAGCTGCGACGCAGCTTAGGCGTCCTTCCCGGACTGGCGATCGGACCTGTCCCCTGCACTGGCAGGAGGATTCTTAACCACCAGACTACCAGGGAAGCCCCAGTTCTATTGTTTCTAATCTTTGCTTTCTTTCACGTTGTGAGCCTTCCACAAAGGTCCCGCAATCTATTCTTTCATTCTGCTTTATATCACCTTTGAGGAATAATCGGTATGTAAAACACACCCACTTTAAGTGCAGCACTGAGTGCTGATCAGCGTGCACACTCCTGGACCCATCACTGTTGCCCCACGGGGAGCACCTCCGCCGCCCCAAAGGGCTCGCTGCGCTCCCTGCCCTGTCGGGGCTCGCCTGCCCCCCAGGTAGGCATTAACCCGTGCACTCACTACAGACTCGTCCTCCTGACTGTCACGTAAGTGGAACCACACAACACTCGGCCTGTCACGGCCTCTCTCACTTTCCACAACCCGTCTGACTGCACCCAGGGGTCTATCAGGGACGCGGCCCTTTGCCCAGCTGAGCACCCGTCCCCCGCATGCACGTAACACAGTTAACCTTCCAGCTGGAGGATGCTGTTCCCAGTGCTGGTTATAACGGGTAGGACTGCAACAACACACACGCGCCCGTCCTTCTGAGCACAAGCAAACATATATTCGGTTCCAAGAAGGCGGTCTCAGGAGGCTGCGGGGCATGCTGGCCTGGGCAGGCTCCCCGACAGTAACCGGGTGGCCAGCTGCCTGCTTTAGCTAGGTTCCAAAGGCCAGCATTTCTGCATCTCTGTGGAGGAGTGAGTTTACTTTCACCAGAGACAGCCTCCAGCCTCGAGGAGTAGCCAGGCAGAATCAGGATGGGAAGAGGAGGGTGGGGAGGGCGAGGTGGGCACGCCTCACTCAGCAGCCTTTCAGGGACAGGGCAAGGGGAGGAACACCAGCGAGTGGTGAGCCCACGGTGAGCCATGCTGCCGACTCCGGCACGCGCTCACTGATGCTCAAGGCAGGGAGCACACGGGCGGCAGCGCCTCTGCTCGTGGGGCAAGGGTCTGAGCGCTAGAGAGCAACACCACAGGGAAGGAGAAGCACGCGGCCCTGAGCTCCACGTCCTCACCTGTCCTCCGCTCCCCGGGAGGCTGACTTTGCATCTCTGGGGGCCCCCCTCCTGCCCGCTCCCCACCACTGGCATGGATGGAGCACACGCAGAGGGGAGGGCGCCCCATGCCAGGCAGCCCGAGGTCCCTCCCCGCCGCAGGAGGCTCCCCCGGCCTCTCGGCCTCCCCGTCTCAGAAGCACGTCGGCAGCCGTGGTGGCAGAGGCAAGATCTCTGTACAAACTCCTGCCAGTTGTGGTGCTTCTGTTTTTGTTCTCAAGCTACATGTATATTAACACAAAAAATTAAAAAGACACCTACCTAAGCTGAATTCCAAAATGGGCTCATCTGGATCTTGTACATTTCCTGGATAAAAAAGAAATGACAGAAAAAAAATTAGCCTTAATCAACTTTTCCCTGCTTTCAGATTTGATGCAAAAAGCCCAATCACCAGTGGTGACACAGTATGCATACATCAAACCAGCAAGCTCTACATTTTGAACTTACAGTGATGTATTGATATGTCAATTACTCCTCAATAAAATGGGATGGGGTGACCCAACACTCCGCCTTCCGTTCCCTCCCAAACTGCTTTATGAGATGATTTGCGATTCCTAAGAAGTCGCGGACCCTGAGACTAAACCCCCTCCCCCTGGGCCTGTACATCCACAATGCGAAGGGCTTTTATTGCAGTCTGGGCACCTGTCACACAGACACTGCGGACACTACCACCTTACCTACTGACCAGCGAGCCCTGGAGGTGCCCATGCAACCTGGAGAGCCCCTGGCGGGCAGGTTCCAGGGGACGAAGGTCCCAGGAAGAGGGCTGACTTTCCCTATTCCAGTCCAAACGGGGGGCTGCCAGGCCCTGCACCCCCAGCACTGCCCAGTGAGGGCCCACAGGCAGCCTGCTGAGGCTCACCTGCCAGAGACAGGCCCAGCATGTCGCCTGCCACGTCGATGGTGGAAGCCCGCTGCATCGCACGGGCCCTGGCGCCATGGCGAGGGCTGTGCTCTCTTGCTGTCATGATGTCATTGGTGAGGATGACTTCCTGTTCCTGGGTCAGACCACGCCGGAGTCCCCAGAAGCCCCGTCACCATGCCCTCGTCCCCTAAGGCGGCAGCTGTCCTGAGAAACAGGAACAAATGCTGATTTAAAACAAACACAGAAACTCAAAATACGAGGATGGGATGGTGACAGGGCATGTGACCTACCTGGGCGAGATCGGGGGAGCCAGGGTCCCTGGCAGGTGAGGAGGGAAGAGTCTGACGATCCAGGTCCTGTCTAGTCACCTCCTCCCTGCTCTCACCCATGGGACTCCACACAGAGATCACGGTCTCTTCCACAGAGACATACCACGTTAAATGATGGCTCAAACGTAATCATAAACCATGGCTGGGGTTTGCTTTATTATGATTTCCCACTGACGAATCTCAGAGGAGCTTTAAAATGATGAATCAGCTCACTACCATCCCTGTCTGAAGGATAAGAGGTGGGGGAAGAGGTCTGCCGCCCACTGGCCAAAACAGCACAGCAGAACAGCGGGGGCCGACGGCGCGTCCCCAGCCTTGTTCTCCGTCCCTCGGGGCTACAGGAACGCCATGAGGGTCTCTCGGGCGTTCTTTTCCGTAATGCACGACAATCTGTGCCTCCGGGGACAGCGCTGGGCTACGGGGACGGGGTCTCTGGGCAAAGAGCCACCACAGGCTGAGCCGCCCAGACGCTCTGGCCAGCGTGGAGCTCACACTCTGCTCTAAGAAGTGGCGTACTCGGCGAGGAATGAGTTTCAAATTCTTCCAACCCTTTATGCTGCCATTCCTGCTATCTCTAGAAGGAACCAACCTTCAGAAGTTCAAATAGTCAGATGAGGCAATAAGGCTGGTTTACAACATCCCCTCGGAGAATGGAAGAAGACAGCAGAGGAGAAGGTCGGGGAGATGGCCTGCCTCCCCACAAATACATCAATAACTCATCAAAATATGGACCAGCTCCTACAGAGCAACCTCTAGACAACAGCAGAAGACTCCAGGCCTCAAAAAAGAAATCAAACCAAAATTGTAAAGCAATCATCAATTAAAAATAAATAAATATAACTTTAAAAAAATCCCCTCAAAGGTCCCCATATATCCAGACACCCCGTCTTCTCAAAGGGTGTGGAACACCTTTGCATTTGCAGGGCCTGACTTCCCGCTCTTGGGTTAATTCACCCGGCAACTTACTGGACATGTTTGTCCTTGGGCCAGTGGAGACACGCGGCATCTCTTCACAGAAGCACATCCAAATCCATCATCTAAAAATAGAAAAGTGTAAACTTAACAAGCTGAGCAGACATGAAGTTCTCGGGAATGCTTATTATAACATGTATTGTATTATCTTCATGCCTAAAAATGGGGGGGAGCCCAGCACTACTATATGCTCCTTTGTGCTCCATACACCAATCTAAAAGTTTAACTCAAAAACAGATGTTCTGCTCAAAGCCCCAAAGAATGAGAAACAGTCAGTGCTCATTCCTATCACCCTCCTGTGGTGACAGAGGGGAAGGGCGGGGTGCCAGCCCTGGAGGGCCTGCTGGGGAGCTGGGGTGTGGCCCAGGGAAAGGAGGAGACAAGAGGCTGAGTCCCAGGCTTCCTGCTACAAACGTCAGGCTCTGGGAGAAGCTGGGCACGTCGGAGCCTCTGCCTCTTGTGACTAAGACAAGGGGGGCTGCACCCACCTCTCGGGGTGGCAGTGAGAAGCACATGTGCGAGGACGGGAGTGGGCACTGAAAAGGCACTGCTGCCCGGCCCGAGCCTCCCCCAGCGCAGCGCAGCGCAGCACCGCCAGGGCCGTCGGGCGGACCTCAGGGTCCAGCGTGAGCGTCTGACACTGCCGGGGGTCTGGGGCGTGCAGCCCTCAGGCAAACCCAGTCTCCCCTGCGGGCTGCGCTCCAAGGTGCCAGGGACCTCGGGCCTGGGCACACCAAAGAAGGGCAGTGGCCTGGCGGGGCCGCCCAGAGAAGCCAGGGAGGGGAAGGCTCAACAGTGCGCTGACATCAAACGGCCTCAGGTCAGAGCTGCGCTGCGACAGTGGGGCAGGCGCAGAGCGAGCCGGTGGTGCTAAGACCGGCACTTTACAGCAGCACTGACACACACTGACCAGGAAGAAGCTCACTAGAAACGCAAGCGGCAAAACGTGCGCATTCACACAAGAGGGACACTCACAGAAAATATTCTGGAAGAGTGACCAAACTCAATCATAATAATGAAAGAATGCTAAGTGCACCTAGAGTTATCTAAAGTAGGCTCCTTAAAGAGGTTTTGTTTGTTCTTCTAATGAGAATATGCTTTGCTTGCTGACCTAGGGGAAACTTGACAGGGTTCTCCTATACTACTGACAACATTCTGGAAAGGTCTGAATACTCTAGAAAGCAATCTGACATTATTTATCAAAATCTGTAAACAATACAAAATTCTCACCAAGGGTCCAGAGATGCCTATCATTTGTAATGATAAATACAGGGAGCAATCGAAATGCCCAGCTACAGGTAAGTGCATTTCGGAACATCTGTAAGACACACTATTATCTGGCTGATAAAATGATTACAATAAAGGCAACAGATACAGAAAAAGTTCTTCAACCTCATTAGTCATCAGGAAAACACTAATGGTAACCATGAGATACCTCAGTGCACCCACCAGAACAGCCAGACTGGGCCAGACAGGCAGTGTCAAGCGCTGACAAGGACGTGGGACAATGGGGCCCTGACACCCTGCTGCTGGAGAGTAAGATGGTCCAGCGGTCCTGGGGACGCCCGCGGGGTCTGCCCACACTGAACATGCAACTGCTCACAGAAACGCACACTTGGGCTCACCAAAACGTGTGTACAGAACACCTAAAGCAGTGACATCTATAATATTCAAACCTAGAGGGCTCCCCGGTGGTGCACTGGTTGAGCATCCACCTGCCAATGCAGAGGGTGCGGGCTCGGTCCCCGGCACATGCCTCGCAGCAACCACGCCTGAGCATCCACCTGCCACTGCAGAGGGTGCGGGCTCGGTCCCCGGCCCGGGAAGACTCCACATGCCTCGCAGCAACCACGCCTGAGCATCCACCTGCCACTGCAGAGGGTGCGGGCTCGTTCCCCGGCACATGCCTCGCAGCAACCACGCCTGCGCACCACAGCCAGAAGCCGCAGGACGCAATGAAGATCCCACACATCACAACTGAGACCTGACGCAAATAAACTGATTAAAAGTACAGCACACGGATGTTTCTATATCAAAAAGCCAGAAACAATCCAAGTGTCCATCAACAGCAGAACGGACAAAACAACACAGATGACTCTAGGAACAACGTCAAGGGGGAAGCCAGGCCCATGCGAGCACGTTTGAGGCAACCCCGTCTCGATGAAGTTCAAGCACTGGCCGAGCGAGCGTGCAGTGGGCGAGGTCAGGACAGCGGCATCAGTATCTCTGAGCGGCAGAGCTGGCTGCGGAGGGCGTCAGAGGCTGCTGGGGGGTGCCCTCCGGAGTGCTCTGGCTCCTGCTGGAGGGGATGGTTCTTTGAGTGGATTTACTGTGGGAAAATTCACCGAGCTGTACGTGAATGGGCTTTACACCCAATAAAAAGGCTGATTCTTTTAATGGCTGTAATAAAAACAACACATCATGGAGAAGTGTTTGTATCAGCTCTGCATCTTGTGGGTTTTCATGGGATGTTCTACCTGTGCTCTGGCCAAAGACGTTTAAAAAGAAGGGCCCAGAGGGACAGAGCCAGTCAGGGAACACGGCACAGCGATGGCCATGTCTGGGGGCGTGCCAGAAGCATTTTCTTTCTCAGCTTACTGCCATCCTCCTGAATCACTGAGAACTGCACCCACACTGGCCAGAGGCAGAGGAGGCACCCAGAAACCCCCTTACTCCGCCCGGCTGCCTGCGCAGCGCGTTAGCTGCGTCATCCCCTTCATTATCAGGACAGGGGAGAGAGGCCACCGAACAGAGGACAACACCTGCACCCCGACGTCCTGCCACCCCAGGAAGGTTCCTCAACCACCCTAGCCCTGCCTCTTGCAGGGTGCCTACCCCACCCACCCTCCAGCCCCATCCCCTGGAGGGTGGCGGATACCAGAGGCCCTGTGAGACTCTGGGGACAGCTTAAGAGGAACATCTATAGGCTAATTTTACACTTGACAGAGTGAACGGATCAGAGAAGCTTTTAGGTCAAAGGGATCTCAGAAGCCGCTTCATGGTTTTGCGGGGGCATCTAATTAAGACCTGCAATTTAAGTCATCGAGACCCAGAACACGAAGCTAATTTGCACAGCTAAACTCAACTTCCCTTATTAATCTCATTAATTTAAGGTAATTCACCTAGGATCTGATATCCCCAAGGTCCCTGGTTTTCCTCCTAGCCCCATTTGAAGACCAGCACTCATTAGCAAGAAAAATGACATTTAAAGAGGACAGTGAAGGCGGGGGAATTGTTTAGAAGGACATGAATTTTTAGGAAAGAAGCAAGAACTCCTGAAACTAACTGCCTCGGCTCCTCACTCTGTGAGACGTGTAACCTCCTCCATCAAAGGTCCCTTCCACCACTGGGGGCGGGAGACGTGGGCAAGGACAGGGAGGACCCATGGCTCACACAGCTTTGCTTCTGGGGGAGCTGGTCTTGGGACGGCCTCCCCGCCACCCCCCACCCCTTCCATAGAACAAGGCCTGGGAAGGGTCTGGAGGCCCCTCTGGCTCACAACCTCTACTGAGCAGGAGCTGAGGGGGAGGACGGCCCCACGGCATCTGTCAGAACACCCGGTTGGGGGGCGGTGGGGGGCGGGGTAGGGTCTTCTCAAAATCATCTTAAAAATTTAGGAGTTGCATGGATGTGGTCAGAGAAACCCAGGCAGGGTGACTTCCTCAAGGTCACATGGAGGTAAAGGATGAATGACCAGCCTCAACCCAAAGCAAGAGGCCCCGAGACTACCTGTGGCCATGCCCTCTCCCATCCCAACCCTCTGCACTCTATCGCTGTCACTGCAGGCAGCAAAACTCCCTGG